ATGTATGTATCGGTATAAATAATTACACAAATATATTAATATAATAGTTTGATTTTTAAAAAAAATTATCTTATTGTTATATTCTCAAACAATTTTCAGTGTCGACCAAATGTATAAATATCTTGATTGAAAAAATACTATTATATATAAATGTTTATAAAATAACCATGGCACTATTATATTACATAACAGCGTGAGCTAAATATTATTTTATAAAAATTTGTTTTATATATTATTTTATAATTTTATATTATAATTTACAATATAAGCTTACAATAAAAAAACAAACAAAAATATAGAATACAGTACTATATCTTATATTAAAGTAAAACAAACAAATATTTTTAAAAAATAATCATAAAAAACATTTGTTGGCTAATGTGGTTATTTAATCATAAAAAGTTTCTAAATAATTAATTAAATAAAAAAATATATATATAAATAATTAGAATATTTTGTATTTTTGTTGTTGAAAATATAATGCATTAAATTTAAAAAAATGTTTTCTAACATTCCTTACATTGCTTTACAATGTTTTTTGTTTAGCAATTAATCAAATTATAATAATTTTTGATAAAATATATATGTATTTTAAATTGTATATTTATTGTACTTTAATAATGTATTTTTTTAAAAACAAATACACATGTTTTATGTTTTGTGAGTAATGTATAAAAATAGATTAGAGATAAAACCAGAAAAAATCTTATAAATACTAATGAAATTATAAAAAACCGTAATTCTTATAAAATTTTATATTTTTAAATCTATATAAATCTTTTATTTCAGTAAAACAATGGCTTTTTCTTTTAAAAAATGATCTGAAATACCACATCATATTTAGCTTTAATTCAATTTCAAAGCTAAATGTTAACATAATGTTCAGTGAAATAATCAGATCTTTTTTATAATTTAAAAAATATATTTTACTATTATTGATAATCATTTCAAGTAATGTCATTAAATATATATATATATATATATATATATATATATATATATATATATATATATATATATATATAGAGAGAGAGAGAGAGAGAGAGAGAGAGAGAGAGAGAGAGTTCTATATGTTTTATATTATAAAATTTATAATTTCTCTATTAGTAATTAACATTTTAAAATTACAGATTAGCTTAATGTATATAAATTTGGTTTTATAAGTTATTAAATATGTAATAATAAACAACAGTATACACTAGTAATTAACTATAATTGTGATAACTTTTTTTTAAAAAAAATTATAACATTATTGATGTCTAAAATTATTATAATTTAAATAATTATTCATAGATAACATAATAAATTTTATTTAGTTTCAGTTGGTTATCGTGAAATCCTAAACTTAAATAATCGGAAAAAAAAATTTAGTTAATTAATAATAGAGTATATTATTATTAGATAACTTTAAAATATAATTTGCAATTAAATAATATGAAACTTAAATAATAGTTTTCAATAAATTTTACAAAATATTAAACTATGACTATGATAAACAAATTATTTATTTTGTAATAGCCTATATGTGTGATTTACTTTTATCATGGTCCTTTTCATAAATTATAATAAAAATAATAAAATTTCTAAATATAAAGTTAATGAATGGTTTACACATTAGATAACCAAAATATTAGTGAATTAAAATTTAATTTATAAACTTATTTTTTTAACTCTAACTACGTTAGATTAACTAAAATTAAGTAAATAATCTTAATCTTAAGTATTTAAAAATGTTTTTTGTTTTAATATTTTTATTTATGTAGTAAATTACACAAAATTGCTTATCTTTCTTATCAGTAAATAAATAATGGGTTGACAAACATGTTGTACATATAAATACAGGATGTCTACTACATACTAATAAATACAAGTTTTAAATAATTAAAAAGATTTTTTATATTATTATATTTTTATTAAATTAGTAAGATACTGTGAATAATTAAATTTTACAAGAAATATTTACTTGACCCTCTTAATAAATTTTATAATCATTGAAAAATTTTCAATTAAAATGTAATATAATTTCATAATTCATTCAATAAAATTAATTTTTCAGTTTTAAATAGTTTACTCAATATAAAATAAAAACTTAATACAAAACAGTAATTACTGTAGAAAATTACTTTATATACTTAGTTAAAAAAAATACTAAATATCTAACAATTTATTACTTATTTTATTTAATGGTTACAATTAGTACTTTTATATCCACTAAAAATCTTGGTACTAACATAAATTGTATAAATGATCAAGTATAATTATCTCATAACTATTTTTCCAACACAATATTTTTATATAGATTGTATATGAGTTACGCAATTTGCTGTCTATAGATATCTGTATTACTAATAGAGACTAATGGCTATCAGCAATAAATAATTTGATAATAATATGATATCAATTATTATTAGAATTAGTTTTAATTAGAAATAAATAATTTATGAAATTTTTTATATTTGTATAGCTATTGAAATAATATATAAATATGAGACATAATACTAATCATATTACATTACACTATACACTACTTACAAAATCGATACCTATATATAAAATAATTATAATTATTTTAATAAGTTTTCTAAAATTTTAATAATCATTTTATTATATATATAATTTAAGATAATTAAATAAATTAATTTTTACTTTAATTAATAATAAAAATATTAATACTAATATTTAATTATTATTTAAAACCAATGTATTGTTACATAATAACATATATCGAGAAAACAAAATTAATCCCATAGATAGAAATTTCTTTTAGAAACTTTCTAGAAATTTCTCTATTATTTTATAAATTTCTCTTTTTTGCCAACACTAATTATTATTAGAAATAAATAATTTTGTTTTATATTTGTTAAATTAAATTATGTTCAATCGAATAATTTTTATTTATAGTTAATTTTTAAATTAATTGTATTATATTTAGATTGATAAATTTTTAAAGTGTAATTAAAAAAACAATTATTTAACATGATGAAATATGTCTTTGATATCTTAGCATTTTCAACTGGTTTACTGTTTTTTAATAAGTCAAAAATATAATATATTAGTTTTCTTATATAAAACATGTTTTTATTCTTAATATATAAAAAGTTTTTATAAATTAAATTTTTCATTTTTATGTTTAAATAGAATATTTTTAAATAAAAAGCTTAATAATACATTTTTTAAAACTTTAAAATARTAAAGTATATTTTATGATAATAACTATTATACTAAAACAATAATATAGTTTTCTAAAATTTTAGTTTTTCAAATGCTTGAAAATAACAAGAATTATTTAATAAATATTTGTTTATAAGTGATTAAGTTATAAAATAGTTTTTTGAAATGGCATAAATAAAAATAATAAAATTTAATTTATTATATTATATTAACAAATAAAAAACTATTTTAAAAGTATAAATAAAAATAAGTCTATACTATATATAATTTAATTAAAAACAAAACATTTTGGTTTACAAAAAGCTTACATTTATAAACAATTTTTTAATTTTCTAAATTCTGTTAAACCATTCATGAATTTAATTTTAGTTATTCATTAAAATGCTTTTATATGTTAATTATATATAGTTTTATTTAAAATAGCAAATCATAAATCAGATAATATAATATTAAAAAATATTATTATTATATCAATTGTTTGTCGGGTTATTCAAAGTAAAATTTTTACTTATAAATACATTTAAAGTTGAATGCTTATCACATAGTTTTAAAAAATAACTAATCTTACACTTTAAAAATTTTTATAATTTCAAATACATTTGAATTTTACAAAATGCTTATAATATAATATTTATGAATATTTTTTGCATTTATATAATCTTTTCTTTTTTAATACATATTTTATTTTTTATATATATATATATATATTCTTTGAAAAACATTTTCGGGTAAAAAAGTTAAAAGTTACAAAAAAGTCTATTATGTATTCCCTTTAGAATCTATTGAAATCTAGTATTATTTTTCTATTATTGTAATTTTGTATGTAATACTATTGTTAAAAAATTGTCATATATTTCAATCGCATTTTATTTAAACGATTATTAAGCCAATATTGTATATATAATTTATATAATGTGTATATAATATATATATATATAAAACAATAATTTTTAATAGTATACTGATTGTGTTGTACTATAAATATATGTAAATAATTTAATGTAAATTTAAATATCTATGCTATAATGTATTGATACTTTATATATATACAAAATATATACTGAAATATATAATAAATTACTAATGGAAAGATTAGTAATTTATGTATTATTATAGTGGGATTTATTTTCCAAATTAGTGACATATTTTTGTCAAAATATTTTATAAAATCGGATTTATTTAATTAATTTTTATCTTAAAAAAATGATATGATATGTCAAGATAAGATAAATTATGTAAATGATTTGAAAAATTTAATGCAAGAATTAAAAAAATATTATTTTTTCCTTATTTAATATATTTTATTTTGAATAATGATATTTTTAAAATATAAAATTAGAATATCCATTATGTAATCAATATTTGTCATTTAATATTAAATAAAAATATATTTTACTTTATTTTGAGTTTTTAATATTGAATTTTGTTGAATATTAAAAGTTTATTTTTATAAAATATAATTATTACTACAGTATATGTAGTAATAATGTCATGTATAATTTACTAATGTATAAACTATATACTGTTAATAAAAAAACTATAGTATATTAGTTATACTATTTTTAAACTATTCAACAAATTAGATTATTAATGTCAGTTTTAATCAACTTAAATTATTAAAATAATATTTATATTAATTTATTATGTGAATATCACACGTGTTTATTATTTAAAAAAAATTGTATATAAAAAATATAATATATATATATATATAATTATAATATAAATGCATAATGAAAAATTATGAAAACCAATTAGAGTTAATTACACATTAATTATCCAAAAAAAAAATTATTTAATAATAATAATAATAATAATTAATATATAACTTACCAAACACTAGACATTGCAAACCAATGAACTGTAAAGAAGAGAACCGACCGATAGTTAATAAACTTAAAGTCACTTAATATATGGTACACATTGAGGGGTAGCCAACAAATGGCAAACACCAGTACAACCATAAACAGCATTTTGATGCGACGCTTCTTACGGCGATTTATCGACAGYCGTTGACCTTCGCTAACTGTGCCGACAATCCGACGGCGCCATAGAAACAGTCCGATTCTCATATAGCATATGATAGTTATGAAAATCGGTGTCAGATATTGGCTTAACAGTGTAAATATGGTCAGCCATTGGCGAAACTGTTGGCTCGGGTACGTAACCTTACAGCGTGTGAGAGCCAGAAATCGGTCACTGACCAGTTGGTTATATAGACCGTGTGGTATCGATAACAGTACCGATAGCGACCATATGAGCACAAGTGTGCGTACGTGTGGCCAACACTTTCGCTGATTGAATTGGCGAAAGTCTTGGACAGTTCCCACAACATTCCTGTACCGTTCAATGGCTATAAACATCATCGATATCGATGAACAGTGAACTGAAGTCGACTGTATGAATGGCACTAACTTACACATTGTCTCACCGAATGGCCAGTTATCCAATACAAATCGCAATATATTGAACGGTATGTTCAGTATAGTCATCATGAGGTCAGCGACGGCCAGATTTGTGATCAGAGCATTGGTTTTGCTCAGTGGCCGACGTTTTTCATACATAGCCTTACAGACCAATAGATTACCCAAAAATGATATAATAATTATTAGCGAATAACTGATTATTAGTAGAGCATCAAAATTTTTGGGATCTTTTGGAAATTTATTCAAATTAAATTTATCTAGATCATATAGTTTATTAGTTACATTTTCATTAATATTATTATTATTACCAATGTTATTATTATTATTACCAAGTAATAGTATATTTAAAAATTTACTATTATTTAAATTGTCCATTGTTGTTTTTAATTAATTATACTTGGACTAATAGTAGTATAATTATAACTTTTATATATATTATTATTATTATAACCTATATAATAATTAATATAAATACTATATATAATACAGTATAATTTAAGTATTTTATTCTATAGACCATAAAAATATATAATATAATACAATATAGTATACTGTAATGATTTATATAATTTTATTATAACAATATTATATACAATATATACCACATATTATTTACAAGAGGTTTTGAAAATAATGAGATATAAAGATATTTTTATACTTTATTTGTTTTCATTGTAATAATAGTTGTTTATAAAATTGTATGTCTTTTTATTATTAGAATGAAAAATGTTTTTTGTAGACAATATTTTTTTTAGTTATTTATTTAACAAAAAAAAGAATTATAAATTTGATTATATTTTTAAAAAAGTTTTAATTTAGTTAAGTTTAATTTAATATGAATATCAATTATAATTTGTACAACAATTAGTATTATTATTAACTGTTTTTATATTTATAAACATTTATCATTAATATAATAATTATTAAATATATAAAAACATTGTAAAGTAATACTATAATATTCAATAGTATTATTTATATACTATTATTAATGTCACAAATAAATTGAAATATAAAACTTGATAATTATTATTATTATCAAAAAAATTAACAATAAAAACGTATATTGAGACCAATAAATAAAACTAAGAAAAGTATTTAATAAAAAAAATATTGAAAAGAAAATATCTTTCGGTTTAGACTTTGTTTTGACGGACAAACACACACTCAGACGATAGAGAGAGAGAGAGAAAAAAAATACAAACTATTTTATAGTTTAAGTGAGAAATTAATGTGAATTTTTTGGTTTATATCCTTATGTTTCACAAAATACAAATAACTGTTATGATTATACTGTGTTTATATACTATACAATTTATATATAAAAATAGTGTATTGAGTCTAGACTTATGGACACAAGTTATCATATGAGATGATAGTAGTTTTGGTTGAATATGCGCTATAACTTACTATTCACTATCTCTCTCTCTCTCTCTCTCTCTCTCTCTCTCTCTCTCTCTCTCTCTCTCTCTCTCTCTCTCTCTCTCTCTCTCTCTYTCTCTCTCTCTCTCTCTATTGATGTGTTTAAGCACCGTTATCAATTGCACCGTTAGCTTTTGGAAAAACGGGAGTTTAATTTATTATTATTATTTTTTTGTACGAATGAATGAAAACCAATGAATATATTATAGATAAGTTTCAATATATATATAATAATAATAATAATGTTTTCCAACAAATTATAAGTGAAAATTGTGAAACAAAATTTGTTAGAAATAAGATTTATTCAATTTATTCAACAAGTATTTTTACCTTCAAATAGTAATTTATATCAATAAAAAATATTTTCTATATATTCTATACTAAATAAAATAAATTCATTTAATGTTCAATGTGTTTGTTAGATTAAACAACAAAAAATAAATAAATATAAGTTTTGATTTTATGCTCATTGAACATCTTTAATATACTAATATACAGTATAAAAGTATGTCCATTATTTTAATAATGCTGATAATAATAATAAATAAAATGTTAGATAACACAAATTAATAGTAACTATCTATTTTGATAGTTTTTTTCATTAATTACTGCAATAATTTAGTGCAAAATCAATGTTATATATACTGTATATATATATATAATAATTTTGAAGATAATTTACAACTTATAATACAGAAACTAAAATAATTAATTAATTAATTACACTTTAGTACAATTAGTGTTAGATCAGATTCCATCCCGCGTTTTATTTACCAAAAAGTTTCTTATATTCCCTGTTCAATGTGAACTCCATGGGAATTTATTACTATGTACTACCACTTATAAAACTCTAAAAACACATTTTATTATAATATCTAAAAAACAAATATCACATTAAACTGTATATCACATTATACTAAAAAAATAATATCAATAAATTTATTGAATTGAAATTTATTTTAAAATATTTCTCAATTTATTTTGCAAAATATTTAAGTATTGCTACTGTTTATTGTAATAATATAAAATATTATTTTTTGTTTCTAACAATCAAGGTAGGGAAAATATAATATCTTTCATATTTCCGGGAAAATTAGAGGGATTTTATTTTTGGTGAACTTTCCTCACTGGAAATGTTGATCGAACTCTAAATACAATAAATATGTCAAAAATTTATTACATATTAATAAAAAACTGTATAATACTAATATTAAAATAATACATATAATTTTTAAAAAGTATTAATTTAATTAATATTAAATAGTTATTTTTAAATACAGATTTTATTTTATTTTTACTATAATTAATTTGTATCGTATAACGCATCATAAATTTAAAAATAAAGTTTATTGATTATTATAGTAAGAATTTTAAATTAAAATAGCATGTATAGTTGTATATTTATCAAATTTAAATTATAAATTAATTTAAATATTTTTAAAAATATATTTATATATTATTTATACATTTTTGTTGAATAACTAGACTAAAATTACTGTCAAATACATTTAATATATTTTATTTTGAATGATATGTTATGATAATAATATGTTGAATTTGTTAAATTTAATAAATAAACACATACTAAACACATACAAAACACATACATTAAAATACAGTATATTTATATCTATCATATTATCTCTAAACACATACAGTAGTGACAACTAAATGAAATGCTTAACAATATATGTCATAATTTTTTTTAATAAAATTATTAATTTATTCTTTTAGCTATAACTTGTATATAATGTAATATAAATTTAAATAGAATTTAAATGAATCATAATGTATAAATTTATTGCATTATAAAAAAATCAATAATATATTTGAATAATTTTTATTATTAATTTTCAAAAACATTTAATTGTAGTGTATAAATATGTATAAATAGTTTATATTAATTATATCATCTTAGTTTTATTTAAACGTGATATTTATACATAATAAAAAGTATTTTTTATAGACTATTTAGTACATAATACAACATTGTAAATGTAAATGTAAAATATTGTTATTTTAAACAGCTTTATCTATTAAAATAAAAAGCTATTTATTAAATATGTAAATTTTATATAAAATATTTATTATATATTTTGTAGAAAATTGTAATTAATATTATATTATCTTACAGAATAAATATAATAAATAAAAAATTGGAAAATAATTTGTAAATAAAAGTTTAAAAATGCTTAAACATATTATACTTTTTCTATATTATAATTATCAATTCAATTTAACTTAATTAAATTCAATTAAAAAATTTAACACTAACATTAAATTATTGTATATCAGTAATGTTTAAAGTATGAAAAAATATTTACTATAAAATTGATAATATTCAATAAAATTTATACTAAAAACTAGCAAAATATTTATTTAAATATTTTTTATAATTTAAAACTACATGTATTTTTTTTGTCAAAAATCTTAAAAGTAATAATAATAAAAAAATATATTTTGTATAGCATTTAATGTAGTATAAAATTATTATATGAAAATTAATAGTCTTTAAATAATTTTAAAAATAATAACTTAATACATATTATATTGTCTATAATTTTATTTTTTTGATTTAGATTTTATTATTATAAATTTTTAATGTGTTCTATTATTAAATATTAATAAAAATTTTATTTGATATTAATAAGTCATTTTAATTATTTTTTCTATTGCATTGCAACCCAACATTTCCACAATTTTATTTATTGCATAGCAAATCGTTAGTATTAATATTTTATTTAACTTAAGGTTAATTTTAGTATAATTCAAACTATATATAGTATACTTTAATAAAACATTAACAATATGTTTTATATCTAAATAAATTATTTATTTAAAAATAAAGCTTATTAATAATCCATTAGTTACCTTTAATCTGTATTAACAAAATAAATAAATCTTACATAAAATCATATAAATATAAATTAACGTTAATATTTAAATACTCATTTTAAATGTTTAAATATTTTTTATTTATTAAGTTTATACTTTATAATTTTATAAGTAAAGTTAATTACATTAATAAKATAATCATATATATATTTATAATGATMTTYTCATTTTAATTATTTAAATAAACTTTATATTTATTGAAAGTTATCAAATTTAGWAATTAAGTTATATTATTTATTACATTGTATATTAAAGATAATTATTATTGCTTTTAAATTKAAATTAAAATATAAATAAGTAAATTATGTACACCAAAAACATTAGTTATWATTTAAACTATTTAATTATTAAAATAAAWTATTTTCTATTATATACTAATATTATTAAAAAAATATATATATAATATATAATAAGATTACAATATTATATACCGTTTAAGTCATAATAAATATAACAAATAAATTTCTTGTCAATTTAGCAAATGTATTGTAGATTAATAWGATATCAAGTAATACTGTATACACATACTTACAAAAAAATACTAATAATTTTTAAATCAGATAATAATATTATTGATTAATCACTAAAATAAATCAATAATGATTAAATTGCTTGATATTACTCAATAGTAGATTAKTTAAACACTAATTCTAATATAAGTTAATATTTGCTATGTTTTATACAATCAATTATTAGTCATAACTTATATTAATAATAATTCAAGCAAAATGAGACTTTAATAGTATAATCTTAAGTAACAAATRTTTTTATATTATACAAGTATAGTACCATTTGTTWCTATACCGGTATAATGCGAGTTATATTAATAAAACTTATATAATAAAAATAAAWTATAATCAAACATTTTTAACATATCTATCATAAAAACATTAACGGTTAATAARATTTATCATCATAAATTATTTATAAAAATTTAAAAATAGTATTAAAATAATTTATTATAATTATAACATATTTGTATGAAACTATGTATTAAAATTTTTATTTAAAGTTATTTCTATAAAACCTTAAATAAATTTTCAAAAAAAACTTGAAAAGTTTTGTTTACTGAAATCTATAATGGCTTTTTGTGTCTGTCTGTTTGTCTGTAGCATTTCATTTTGCGAATTTTGAAATTCTGACTTCAGATTCGCTTAGAGGACTAATAATAATGTATTGAAAAGTTGCATCAAAATTTCGATATCTCTTCGGTAACATAGAGAAAATGGCGGCCAAAGTAAAGAAAATTTTAAGAAAATTTTTGTTAAGTATAGATTTGAATAAAGCATCAAAAACAAGCATAAAAAATATGCATTAAAATTTTGATATCTCTTCGGGAACATAAAGAAAATGGCGGCCAAAGTAAAAAAATTAGGTAAAAATTTTTAGAATTGTGCATCAAAAATATGATATAATATATCAACATAATTTTTTTTAAAATGGCGGCAAAATTATAAGAAAATTTATAGAAATTTTTTTAATTATAGATTTGAATAAAGCATTAAAAACAAGAATAAAAAATATGCATTAAAATTTTGATATTACGGGAACAAAGAAAAAGTATAAGCGGCAAAAGTATAATATAGATGATTATTTTGTTATACTAAATCATTTGATAACACACATGAGTAGTTGTTTATTTTATCATCGAGTAATTTGATGCCCCACATGACTATAGTTAAGTTTATTTTGTGATACCGAGTCAATTGATACTCTACATGACTAAAGTTGTGTTTATTTTATCATATTGAGTCATTTGATAACTTGCATGACTAAAATTGAGAATATTTTGTCATACTGAATCATTTGATACCATACATGACAATATTTATATTATGTATATTTAACCAATTTTTAAATTTTTATGTTACTATATAGCCGCTATAATTATACAAACTAATGGTTTTCAATGCTATTCAAGTTTTTTTTTCTGAAAATGCTTTCTAGCATTCTTAACTGGTTTTAACTGTATTACAATTATTTTTATAAATATGCTTTCAATTGTCTGCAATAATATAAAAATAATGTATTATTTTAAAAATTAAATATTCAATGCATTATTCAAACAAATYCTAATATTTTATTTATATATTTTTWAATATTTACATTTAAATATSTTTTGAGATAAATCACAAAAATTTGATGTATTTTAGTTAAGAATATTAAACTTATATTCAAATTTAATCAATTAATTTAAATCCTTTTGTTTTTCRTATATTTTTAGCATTAATTGTAAACTTATTTTATGCCTAATTTTATCCATATATTTTGATTTATCTATTTATTGATCGTTCATTACATTAATACCTACCYGTTCTTCAATGATGTAGTCATCACTGGCAACCAGTTGACCGATTACTTACCTATTTTAAACTTAAACAACTGGTCAATTGATTAGTTGATATGTCGGTTACTGATCTCATATCGACCCACGATTACCTAACTGGCCAATCGATAAGGACTTCCTGACTACTGTTGATCATATCATTTAATCCCTAACCACACAATACTTTACTGAAAAAATATAGTAAAAATTTTTAATCGGATTATTCATTCATTTATTATTGTTAATCTAAATTAAACTTTATAGATATAATAATTAAAATATTGTATAATATTTTATATTTAAATTATAATAATTTTATATTTTTAGACTATAATATTTTTGTATCAAAAGATTTATATTTATTATATTTTTTTATTTGATAAAATAGTTTGCATTGTTTTAATTACTAAAATATTCTTTAATTTTTTAAAAAATAATTCTAAAAATTTTTGATTATATAATTTAATATTATAATAAAATATATACAATTAATAAATAATAGTATTTACACTTTAAATAAAATATATATCATTTTTTAAAAAATATCAATTTTCTATGTATTGTATAATAACAACATTTTTTGTGTAAAAATATTTTATCAATTAATTGTTATTTATTTAATAAAAGTATTTTTAATACTAAATTATCAAAATAAAAATTATTTAGTAAAACATAGCTTATTAAAAAATATTTATATATTTATGAATTATTATATTATTAATTAGTAATCAATGGGTAAATAGTGGATCCTTTATGAATACATATCATATCGCGAGTATTGACTATATTTTTCCAGCCATTTATTATCATCTTTTTGTCCAAATTTTGCCAGAAAATAATATTTTCGCGAAACCAGCAATAATTCAATTGATTAAACTGTTGCCACGCGTAGTACACCAAACCCTTCAACTGTTTTCGTGCCACCCGTGCCTTACTGGCCACCACTCCGGTCACAAACACGTCCTCCCAGGGCAGAGCCGGCAACGATCGCGTAATGGCTATCTCGTAGAGTTTCGGTATTAGATGTCCGGCCATAAGCCACGGGCCGCCCGTATAGTCGGGATAGGCGTTACCTTTGAAATCCTTTCGGCTGATGTAAAACTTGGACTTAAGGTTCCTATCGACGTACGACTTATGCCAAAACTGGCCGTAAATTGTGTTGCCGTCCATAGTCTCAGTGAATTTGACCAGATTTTCAGTATTGACAATACAGTCGTCGTCCACTTTATAGACAAATCGGACATTAAAACAGTTGATAGAAATCCAGCGCAAGATTCCCAACGATTTGACAGTCAGATTGTAATAGTTGTCAATGAAATTCCACTGTAAAATGTCGCCAAACTTCCGGTGCTCTTCCAGTACCCGGTGCTCGACATCTCTGTCCAGTGTCTGTCCCAATGCAAAGTACATTTTGACGCCTCTGGGCATCGCTAGTACTATACTGTCATCTCGAGATTTACCGGCTATTTTACCCCACGTCTCGCGTATAGTATTTCGTGTTTCAAAACCATTTACCCGGGATATCACAATAATCACGACTCGGGTATCGTTACCATAGTTTTGATCGCACCGTTCATTGCCGACAGTCATACCCGTTATCTCTCGTATAACATCYGCGTACAGTAGTCTCGAGTTTGCCGACCGGCGGACTATTGGCGTCTCTAAGTATTTATGTTCAAAATCACGGATTTCTGATTTAATAACTTTATACTGACTATCATAGTGTGAGATATTATGAGTTTCATTGTTATTATGACTTTTATAATTAACTAAAATATTGCTATTATTATTACTAATGTGTTGTCGACTGCTGTGCACTACTTGATGAACACCACTGATATTTTCAACATTATTATTATTATTTGCAATATTATTATTATTACTTTCGATATCATTATTAATATTATTAATGTTATTGAAGTTATTTAATAATAAATCATTTTCATTCATATCGTTAATATTGTCGCCGACGCCGTTGTTGATAACAATTGAATTATGTATTGACTTATTAATGTAATGATAAATATAATGATTAACATTTAAGTGATCATAAATAACCAACAATGAGATCATTCCCGTAAACATAATAATCACAAATTTTAACTTTTTAGACATAGTATCCATTTATGTTGTTATCAAACGTATAGGAGATATATCTAGATATTTAAAATATAGCAAAAAATTAAAAAATTTAAATAAAAAAAATGTATTCAATTATATCTCGGTTTTTCACAGAATTCACAGAATAATCACTTATCGAATTCATCACAAATACTATCTCGTGATATAATTTTGATATTTATATATAGTATTTAAATAAATTTGTTTAATAAAAATAGAATATTATTTTTTTTTAAATTTTAATTATGAATTTTGTTAACACTTTTTATCATAAATATATACAAATGATACGAAATAACATCTGGAAATTTATATATATTATCTATTATATGATTATTCTATTATTGTATATATATTTGGATAATATTGTGTGGTTTTGTTAATTAAACAAAAAAAAAGGTTAATTTAATATATATATTTAATAGATATTATATTGTTGAATTAATTTGAGATAAATATACTGTACAGTTGATAGAGAAAATAGTTTTAGTTTAAATTAGCATTAATTAAATAAAATATTAATCATTAAAATAGATTATGTTATTTTTAGATTTTTAATTTTCAGAGATAAAGTTTAGATTTATTTTAGTTATAGAAAAAAATCATTAACATTTTCATTTGTTATGTAATCTATTTTTTCCCCAATTCTCAATAATTACATTTGAATATTTAAGTACTTATAGTAATAATAGCACATAAAATTAATGTAAATTTTTAAATAATTGAACACTGAATTACATTATGTGAATATATATTTTATATTTAATTAATTAAAATTTTATTGACACATCTTATATAAAACTATTGATTGAATTGATTCACTGTTTGAATGGACATCTCTAATGACAATGAGGCTTATAATTACTGTTTGTTTAGTTTATTTCTAATTTCTCTCTCTCTCTCTCTCTCTCTCTCTCTCTCTCTCTCTCTCTCTCTCTCTCTCTCTCTCTCTCTATGAAACACAATACACAATACTATTCACAGATAATTAAGTAAATCTCTTGAAAAATAAATGATAGATTGTCGTTGTTTCGTTGAAATCAATAACTATACAGTGGTTTGTATGTACTGTAATGTGTGTGTGTGTGTRTATGTGTGTTAAGGAAAACAATAAATTGATGCTATTGTATAAAAATAATTAATTTGAATTACACTAATTGTCATTCAGACAAATTATATTATTATTTAATAATTGATTATTTTCATCTCTATTTCTAATTAATAACAATAATAATAGTATTACAAATAACGGTAAATTATTAATATTAATTAGCACTACTAAGATTGAATATTTAAAGTTTGCAATAATATTTTATTAAGATAGTAATAATTTATAAATTAACCACAATTTATTATTTTTATTGGTGTTATTTAGTTAAATAATTAATATTTTTATATTATTTATATAACAAAAATAAAAAGAATTTAATCAAAACAAATAATTAATTAAATTATTATTTACTTACAAATTGTAACTAACAACTAACTTCATTTAATTTAAGTTTTAGAAATATATTTACTTAAATAATAATATTTTATTTTTGTTTATTATTTTTTTACAAACTGTTTATAAACAGTACACAGTATATAATATTATATTCAGCCATAAATTGTTTTGTTATATTAAACTCAAACAATTGATTAGATAAGAGATAACATTAAGCATAACTATTAAGTTAAAGCAATTATTTTTATAAATATGAACACTATATACTGTATATTACATGTACAGTACTGTAATATATATATATATATCGATTTATTTTATATATATATTAACAAAACTAGTTGAATGTATTCACATATAAATTTATATAGTTTTTATAATATTACAGTAATATAAAATTTGAGATTAATTATTAAAATTCACATTATTATTATTACTAATAAAAATAAGAAAAAAATTATAAATTTATAATAATGTATCACATATTTTTTTTAAAAATCTTCAATTATTAAAACATTTGCATTTATATGAATTTATGTAGAATTACACAAATATTTAAATAAAAAAAACATCAGTAAATTAAATTTTTTATCATAACTACAATATATGTAATTTTTGTGAAAATAACAATTACATACTTGAAAAAAATGAAGTACTTATCATAAAACACTTGTTTTTTTAATAATATTATAAACTATTCAAACAAATTATTTGTGTTTAATAAACAAAGAATACTACAATAAAAATAGATTTTTATCACTTAAAACATTAATATTAATGTTGAAAATACATTAAAATAAATTCACTTAAAAAAATTTTAATACATTTATTTATAAATAATTTTATATTTTTCATTAATTAACACTACTGTTGCACAATTAATTTTGTTTTTAATTTAAGACAAAAAATATTTTTTCTATAAATCATAGTAAACAATATTAAATAAATAAAAAACAGTATAATTTAATTTTGACTTTTAGTCCAATAGATTTTCAGTATTTTCAATATATTTTGTTATCAAACTTTATCAATAAATTTGATATCAACTTATACTGTATTACTATTAAATAAACAATACTTTTTTGTTTATAATACTGTATATATATTATATTAAAAAAAAGTTTGACATTAAAATACAATTTTTGCTATTTTTATTTATTTGATATTTGTTAGTGTATTTATTACACAAATTATTTAGTTTCACTACCAATAAAATTGCGGTATTTGTGTGTATTTTTAAACATAAATATATTCATTTCCACGACAACACACACACACACACACACATACATACATACATTAATTTCAAATGTAATTCAATACAATATTTTTCTGTTATATTTTATATTAAAATTATATGTATATTAAAGAATTTTTTTAAATACTAATTAACGAATTTACTGATTATTAAAAAATATAATGTCTTTACATATATATATATATATATATATATATAATTTATATTCTACGTTATATATAAACAAAATTTACTTTTTAGGGGATATTCACATATTACTTTCGCACTTTTTAAGAAATCTACACCCCTCCCTCCCTTGTTAGCATGTAGTCATTTAAAAAAATCACGTTCACATGTCCCTAACCACTTGCCCCCACCCCCACCACTAAGAAATAAAATATTATCTAAGTGCAAACGTTATTAAAGTCTATATCCCTATCCCCCCTCGTTCGCAAAAGTTCGCTTTGGTCCCCCTCCCCTCAAGTGTGAACGTAATATGTCTACCACCCCTTACTGATTATTTTAACATTTAAATCTCATTTAATTAAAATTTATAATTATTCTGATTATTTAATAATTTGTATAATTTTCATTTTATATTCGCAACAAAAAAGATATAATATACAATATATAAAAACATAAATAACTTATAATTAGATTGACCAATAATAGGTTACATAAACTAATTACAGAAACTTAGACAAACAATAAAAATCTATAGATAAACCAAACTTTTTTATCAAAAATAAACTTTTAAATAAATATTTTTAAAAAATATATATTAATATATAAAATCAATACTTTATATACTGTATAATATTATATAACTTGTCGGACTAATCGTAATAAATTATCAATGAATTAGATATTAGTTTTTTTATAACATAAAAATAAAAAAGTTTTCTTATACAAACAATATTTGAAATTTATAACAAAAAATTATGACATTTATAATATACAAACTAAATTCTCCATGGTAACTGAATTTGCAACCTATAGTTGTAATAAATTGTCTGCAAAATATTTATATAATATTTTTAATAAAATAAACTTTTATAGGATATCCTTCTATACATGAATTTATCATTATGGTTATATATATATATATATGTTATAATATTTTCAATAAAAAAATATTTGTTTATTATCAATATAGGGGTTTACTTAATAATTTATTATTTATGAATTGTTGGTCACTATATAATATATTAATTATTCAATATTATTTATAGTATGATTTATTTTTTATATTAAAATATACTGATATAAACTATTTAAATAGAAATGATATATAAATATAATGATAGATATGATTCTCAAAACTTTTCAAATAAAGCTAATAAACTTTATATATGTTGGTAAAAAAAATTATTTTATCAAAACAAGTTAATAAACAGTATTAATACTAAACTAATTAAAAATTTTGTATTTAATTAATTAAAATTTTTACTCAATTAAGACTACTGTATACACCTTTATTAGTGTTATATTAATTAAATTTGAATTAAATCATATAATATTACAATACATCAGTATATATATAGAAATAATACTAAATATATCAATTTTATATACAGATTCTTCATAGAATAATTAGACTAATGATATAAGACTGGTTTTTGAAAATTATTAGATTAATTAATATACTAAAAAATATACTATATATTTACATATGATATATACAGTCAATTTAATGATATAAATATAACATTTTATTTAATATAATTTTAACAAATTATTATTAAATCTATATATTTATTAGTAATTTTTAATAAATATAGAATTGTATTTTAAAAAATGTTTTTTTGTTATAAAAAATTAGTTATGCTAAATTAATTAAATATAAATGCATTCATTACATGTAATTTAATATTAACAAAAATTTAATATTATTGCAAACATTTTTACTTTATATAATTTAATTAAAGTGATGAAAGTGAAAATATACTAACCTATTATTAAATATTTTTTTAAGCACATTGTTAACTTAGTAAAACAAATGATTATATTGTTAACACAACATTTATTTTACAAAAAAAATAACTGCTACTCAAATATTAGATACTGTATTATACATAGACAAACACATACACATATTATGTACAGTAAGTTATATTATATTTACTTTAGTAATTGACTTTTAAAATATAACCAGCAAACTTAGTCATACCATACATAAATATGCTACAAACAATAAAAAAATATATAAACAGTGTATTGGCATTTATTCATGAAACACACATACATACATGTATGTATGTATATACATTTATATATATTATACATACACACATAGACACACACACAGTATAATAAATAATAATAATAATGAAAATACAATTTTATACAACACTAAAAATTCTTGTGTTATATATATATATAGTACAGTATAATTAATACAAACACATTTTTGTGTGTATATTACAGTATATATATATATATATATATATATATATTAAATTTAGTAGTTGTTAGGAAAAATATATTTAGTAAAACTATAATAGTATATCACACTTACAGGATCTTATTAATAATGTTTATTACACTTATAATGAACTATACGTTTAACACATACATAAAAATTACATTATATTTTTTTTATCTTTTGATCGCAAACACAGGCCAAAGAAAACAATTTTTTTTGTATTAGTAAATCAGTACTATATATATATATTTATATTCAAAAACATTTTCAATGGATAAAATAAACACTAAGTAATGACAGTTTTTTCTAAATAAATACTATTAATTTTGTTTAAATATCATACATTTCACTAATGTAACAAATAGGAAAAATAATAATAATAAGTAATAATAATATAATTTCAATGTTTTAATATAAATAGATATATACTATATATATATATATATTGATATATATATATAAATACCATTAATGCAAGTTATTTATAAACATTTTGATTTGTTGATGTACTGTATATGCAATATGTTTATACATTACTGGATTAATAAACAATATACAAGTTAAATATCAGAAATATCATACTGTATTGTATAAATAATTATTTATTTGTGGTTTATTTAATGTCAAAATAAACTATTATACTATACAATAATGACAATGATAATAATACAAATATAAAATTAATATTTAATGATAATATACACATAAATTATATAGTATTATACTGTACTATATATAGACAAATAATACTCTATTGCTTAAGTGATGGCTTTCTAATTAATTGCTAATATACACAAAAAATAGTTAAATCACTATTTGAAATACTATAATAATCATAAATATAAACTAAATTATTATTATTACTATATTGTTAGCAAAAATTATTGAATCATATACCTAATAAAATTATTAATTTATTAATTAATTTATACATAACTGTGTCACATAAAAACTTTGTTTAGTAAATTAATATAATATTTATTAGTCACAAATAAAAATAATTATTAACTTAAAATTTTATTAAATCATTTATTGAATAAAATACATAATAAAAAACAAAACTATTGAAATCCAATAATTATAATAATACAAAATATTTTTTCTAAATTAAAAATAAATAATTTATAAATAGTCAGCAATAAATTGTTATTCAGTGATATTACTGATGTTACACATATTTAATATGTATAGCAAAATATTTGGTGCATCAATACTTGTATTGAATTAATTTATTATATAAAAAATATATTATATTTATGATAAAAATTTTTGTTTAACATGTTGTAAATATTCATCAATGTTTTGTCCTCATAGACAGAGAGAGAGAGAGAGAGAGAGAGAGAGAGAGAGAGAGAGAGAGAGAGAGAGAGAGAGAGAGAGAGRTCGGGAAATTCATTCAATGCAATATATTTATCACAAAAATATAGTATCTAATAGTAAAACATTTTTTCTACACATAATTTTTTTTATTACGTGTATAAAGCATTGTTCACTGGTAAAAATATAACAAAACAAAATATCATTATTATATTGTATCTATTGATAGAGTAAATTATGAACACATTTCAATATATATATAAATATTATATATAATATTATATATAGACTGTATAATTCAATGACATTTGCATATAAAATACAAAATTTATTGTTAGATTTATTATTATAGTATATTTGTTTGTCAATATATTTAAATAAATAGACCATTTTGTTTAGGGATTTAATGTTTGATATATTTGCTGTACAAGTGTCACTATATTTCATATTTAAATGCAAATTTGCAAAATAAAGTTTACAAAACTGTGCAACATATTGTAAAATACAATATATTAATAAAAATGTTTAGATTTATTGGTTCAAAATTCAAGCTAAATATATGATTGAATAAGTATAATAGTAAACACTTTATTAAATGTATTGTATTTATAATATAATATTTAATCAGCATATTTATATAAAAAAACTAATTTATTGTTAAACATCAAATTTAATACAAATAGAGTAATATATTATTTAATTATATAAATTTCATTAAATAAAAATCAAAAAAAAAATTAATTCACATTTTTCAATTATATGATTACTTTATAAAAAATACTAATTTACTGAATTATACACTTATGCAAAATAAATTTCATTAAAAAATATATATGTAATTAATGTAATATTTTTTTAAAAAAAACTCCAAAAAATAAATTATACAGATATACAGAATTATAAAATTGCTAAAAAAGTTTATAAATGGCAAAAACAAAACAAAAATATAATTGACTTTAAAAAATCTTTTTTTAAAAATGTTATTATCTTAGCGCACGTGACACGCGTCGGGCCAGAAAGATATCGCGCGGCATAATAGTTACCCGACGGGCATGAATGGCGCATAGGTTTGCGTCCTCGAATAGTGTCACCAAAAAGTTTTCGGCCGCCTCCTGGAGGGCCTCAATGGCCAATGCCTGCCAACGAAGATTAGCCTCCGGATACCATTCAACAACAATGTCGCGCACCAGACGTTGAAACGGTAGTCTCGGTATTAGACACTCAACAGAGCGCTGGTATCTCTGTATTTCTCGTTGCCATTGAACCGACTTTTCCTTTTTGTAATTACCAATGGATTTACCAATACTTTTGCGGGGTTTTGGTGACACCACTTGAATAACATTTGGCCGATGACCGGGTATTAAACTCATGATTTGATTTCAATATTAATTTGTTTATTATAATTATAATTATTTTAAATAATAGATTTTTTAAAAAAGTATTTGTAATGAATAACTATAAAATTTTTTATTTTATTAGTAAAATTACTGCTATTGACATATAAGCAGTTTATATATGATAATTGATAAACATTGAATAAAAAGTGAATTTATAATTTATTTATTTTGTAACCAAAAATAACTACTAAAAGAATCTAATAAAATATTTATAGTAAGTTTGAAAAATTTGTAAATATCATAGATAACAAAATAAATTTCTAATTAAGTAAATATCTATTAAAATACTATTACAAGTTGTAATTTACAACTACTATTACTATTATAACTAAATACAAGTGTTATATTAATATTGTACATGACTTAGCACTGGAAAGTTATAATTAAGATTTTTAATAATTAAAATGAACCATGTCACATTAAATAATATATAATAAAATTTTCTTAATAAATATTATATTAAAATCTACAAAATTTTATAAAATACAGTATATTTATTAAAAATCTGATAACAATTACAACTACTGTACATTAAAAGTCAATTAAAATAATTTTCCTTTTATGTAATAATAAAAATATAAAATTGATAACAATGTCTATAAAATTTATTTTTGTTTATTTTAACAAATATAGAAACTTCCAAATTTTATCATTAAATCATATTACGGTATTATATTTTATAACTTTTCAAAAATTATTTTATTATGACATTAGATTGTGATATAAATATCTTATTATTAAATTTTATTAAATTATGTATTATTTTATTGTATTATCTATTTTTTTTATTATTTTTTTAATATAAATACACTACTGTATATAAAAAATAGAAAATACTTGCATTATAAGATTAAATAACAATATATTTATTATAAATGTAAAGTGATATCAAAACCTATTATATTTTTACGTAAATGCTATTATTTTTAGCTATTTTTATTTAGTCATAAAAAGACAAACAACGTGTGACTGATATGAGAGGATACGATATATGAGATACTAAATAGCAAAATGTCAGATATGTTTTAGTTCAATAAAAAAATATTATATAATATATATTATTGATAGAATAGCTAACATAATAGGAAATCATAGTCATGTCATAAATAATTAGAAAAATATTTGAATCAATTTTTCTCAACTATTTATCAATCAATTTAATATGAATGCTATTTTTGAAATTATATTTATCAACAAAAAATAAATTAGTAATTATTAGAAAATTCACCTCTCTTGTTTATCATTGACTATTGACGCTCATTATTAAGATAAAAATTGTTAATTAAATATTAAAAATAATTCATATATCAATTATACAGTTTAATCAATATATATACATAAGTGCAAGTATATTAATTATTATTTAGTTAATAATAAATTATAAACTTTTATATATATATATTTCAATAAACACCACTTGAATGACTAAATTAACAAATATATATAGTATTTACGTAAATAGGAGGGAAAGATAGATAGCAGGGACTGGGAGTTCACTGAAAGACCCCGAGTCTAGTACTGTAATAACGTCAACAGTTTCTGTGTTTGGAAAACAATAAAACTTTATTAATATATATATTATAAACTGATAATAACAAGTAATGACACGTCTATTAAGGCATTGATTAACTGCTATATAATGTGAGAGTATTTTTCAGTTAAAATTATTATTATATTTTGTGAATTTATTTGTTAAATATTTTTCATTAATCGTTTGTGTGTCCATCGAGTTAAACGTCTCCTATAAATATTGTGCCAAATATTTTCTTAATAATTATATATTTAATACTCAATTGTTTTTTTTGTGAAATCTATTAATTATTTAGAAATTATAAATCATTAAAAATGAAATACTTATTATTGACATTAATTGTTTCATTATTAGTCGTCAGTTTATATGCGGCCAAATCTGCTGTAAGTTTTTTAAAAAAAATTAAAACCTATTCAATAGTTTATTAATTTTTCAATTATTTTTCTTTAAAATCAAAATGAATGACAATTAGGAAACACGAAAAACTGACAAAAGACGTGAAAAAGTGGTCGAAGAAGCGGCAGCTGAGGAACCGGCAGTCGAGTCCAATGATGTAGAAGTGGCGGCAGAAGAAAAGGAAGAAGAGGTCGCTGTAGTCGAAAATGAACCCGAATTGACACAAGAAGTAGTGGCCGAAGACACCAAACCAGTGCAGCCAAAGAAGTCGCAGCTGAAGAATGCAAAGAAAGTGAAGACAACACCAAAGAAAGAGGCAAAGGCTAAGTCTGTGGCAACTCAGGAGTCAGAAGTAGTGGCACAGGAAGTGAAAGAGGAGGAGGAGGAGCCGGTTGCTGAGGAACAGGAGAAACAAAATTGCCCGAAAAAGTCTGAGAAAAAGGTAATAATTTTGTTAATTGACTTTTTCATTGACAACAAAATATAATATAATTTATTATTTAATGACTTGTTAGGACACACAGGGATGCGGCAAACAAACTAAATCTGTGGTCAAAGAAGTGGTCGACAGTGAGACAGAACAAGAGGTTCAGAAACAAGAGAAGAAGACTAAGACTGATAAAAATCAGAAGAAAACGACGACTACTACTAATGAATCTGAAGTGAAGAATCAACAAAAGACTGGACAAAAGAAACAACAGAAGAATGAAAACAAACAGAAGAATAATAATAGCGACAGAACTAAGAGAAATGCCGACAAAAATAAGGACCAAAAGGGAAAAAATGGTAAACAAAACAAACAAAAGAATAATAATAATAACAAAAAGGATAACAAAAAGTCTGGAAAATCGGACAAAAAGTCTAAAAAGTGATTGAATTTTCTGTTTAAATGTCATTCAAAATCCTAATCACATTTTTTAAGCATAAAATTTTCTGTGTTTTTAGTTTTTAATTTAATATATAATTAATTTTTTCTCTAATTTAAACAAATTTGATTTTAATATTTTATTTATATAAATATATATATATATAGAAAACATTTTTAATTAAAAAATATTCAATAATAAAATCATTAACATTTTTTAGTCTATTTAAAATTTAAATGATATAACATAACAAAAATGATAATTGATTAATGATAAATTATTTAGTGATGATAAATTAATATAAAAGCTAATTATTCCTCAATCGACATACTAGTCCACGTTATCGGTACACACGTACCCTCCGGTTCCCACCAATTTTGTAGACTTTTATAGTATCGAGGACTGGGAGGCGCGTGCAATAGAGCGCATACCCGACACCACATAAATATTTCCTTTAGCTCACCGATTCCTTTCCACGCAAAGTATTCATTATACAGATGGTCATCGTTGTCGAGCTTATGTAGATAATTGGCCAACTCTTTAGGCGATTTAAAATCATCGACGTGTATGTATGAGTGCGGTGGTGCTAACTGTTTATAGGTGTCCGGATGGGCGCCCATCACTATTGGCACTATATTATGGCTAGTTATTATAAAATAATATTAATTAAATAATTAAAATTATTAATTGTATTTAATATATTTTAAAAAGTAAATCATACGCCAATCCATTGATCCAAAACTTTTCGGTGATATAGTCTTTACAATTAGAGTTTTCAAATGACAAATAAAACTTGTAATCCCTGTCCAACATTTGCTGACACAAATCGTTATCTTTTTTTAGACATTTTTTAGTACCACACCTTTTAGATAATTCATTAGAAATACAATAAATTTATGTTAAAAAATTACGGTAATAATAATAATAAAAACTAAAGTATAACATACTGGCCATAGATGTCGACCTCAATATATTTGGCCAGTTGGTTGGCGTACTCCAGCCGTTTATTAGCCGCAAAACAGTTGGACACAAACCAGGCCACTTTTTTCGTCTTATTTCGGCCATAATTTGGCCGCTGACTAGTAGTGGTCACCCTATTGCGGGTCTGATCTTCATAGGGATAGAACTTGTAGTACGGCGTCGATATTTCCGAGTCGTGTCGATAAGTGGCCGTCCAATTGAAGGCATTGTCGGGACCGAGTAGTTGTATGTTAGCGGCCGACTCGATCTCAAATTTCAGCCAAATTTGATGGGACGGCCGATCCTTTTCCAGATCATTAAATCCGTATCGATTCTAAACATAATATTAAAGTTATTATGAAGTTATAGTTATTATCGGTAATTGACTTCACGTTTCTATACTATACGATAAAATTTATAAATTTTTATTGTCTAATTAAATTGAATAAAATTATATATTATTTTCTAAATAATCATTTAAACTATAAATTATTGAATTAAAAATTTTTTTTGTTGCCCTAGTCTATCAAATTATTATAAATAAATATTTTAATAATATTGATTTGATTGTAATTTCCAATAATAATGTAGATGCAATTGTTAATTTTTTTAAAAATATTTACCCAGTATACCAAACCAATATAAAAACTAAAAAAAAATAATAATACCGTAAATACTTTTAGATAAATCTATATATAAATGTGTTGTTATTCTGTGTTTTCAAAGTGTCACTAAACAACAAAATTAATTACAACAACAAAACTAAAACACAATACAAAACAATCAATATATTGATTTGTCTCAAAGCCCTACTTTTGTCTTTTATATAATAATTTATAACATATATCATACATATTGTACATATAAACAGACACTACCAACAACTGGAAAGTTGTTTTGAAAAAAAAATAAATATATGAATATTATAGCTGTTTATTGTTTTTTTAACATTTATATTCAATTTATTTTATTTTGTTAACAACTTTCCAGTAAAGTCTATAATTATATATACCTTAAAAAATATTAGATCCGCTTTTGGGGCGTCTTTTGACGGCACCAATAGACAGGTACTGACCGGACACCTGAGAAACTCTTTGCGACCCAACGACAGCTTCCAGTCTATATCAGTGGTACTCAAAAATATCTTTTTAAATCGCTTAAGATTTCTATCGTAATTCTCGGGAACATACATAAGCTGATTGACCACCCGATCTTCAACGGTATTATTGGCTGGTATTTCCTCCGGCCAGAGAGCTAGCTTAGTAGCCTCGCGGCCGGTTAGTCTGGCCGTACCGTTAGATAAAAACCATAGCCTTTCTGTGCGATTATAATATGTTATCTTTGGATGCAATGAAGGATTGATCACCACTTTTTCGGCCACTAATTTAGTTTTATTAACCACTGGCACCGGTAGATCTAAACTACCTTTTTAGGAGTTGTTGTCACTGGTGGTGGTGGCGGCGGCGGTGATAATTGACGTACTGTTGATGGCATTGATTTCCAATGAATAGATTTATCATTAGTAATAAGTTTTTGAAAAATGTTTAAACTTTCTGATGACTTATCGGTAGTGTAATAGTAGTCATCATTATTTAATGAGTGATACTTTTCTAATAAATTAATGTCAAATACGTTGACCGACACTACGATAATCACAATTAACGTAAAAATAGTTATGAATAATAGCGTTGAATAAGTCGATAGATTTCTTAGTCTAATAAATACTAATCGTTGTAATGAAAACATATTGTTATTATCTAATTATTAATACAATTGAAATACAATTTTATAATTAATTTTTTATTAATTTTTAAATTATTTAATAATATTACTGTTATTTAAGAATAATAATAACAATTTGTAGCCATATTGTAATATATAATTAAAAATGTTGACTTTATAGTCATATTTGTTGGTTAAACATATTTCTATTAAATAATTGCTTACAGTATTTACTATAAATTTATTCTGGATAAATTATTGTTAAACATTTCATACAGATAACTTGTAGGATATGGTAGATTCAAAGCACATGTAGATTTTTTTTTGTTTTGGTAGCACCAGTGATAAAAATTGATTTATTTTTAGTGGTTTTCAATATTTAATAAAAAAAACTTTTTATTAAATAGCAAACATTACAGTTATTTTATTTAGTACTATGTGTGTAGATTTTAATACAAAAAATAATTAATAAGTTTTTTTGTTGTAAAATAAATTATTTTATTGTAATATCCGTAGCAATAAAACAATTAATTAAGAATTTCAACTATAAAAGAATATTTTAAACATAATAATTAATTAATTAATACAATATTTTTTTCATAATTAATTAAAATTTTCATATAAATTGATGAAATTTCATTTTATAAATAACATTGGTCTCAAAATAAATATTTAACATTGATTTTAACTATGTTTATAATTAACTTTATTATTATTATATTTTAGATGTAAACAAAAATGAAATTTTTTTAAAAAAATTGCACATCACCATAACTAATAAATATTATTAACAATTTAATATTAATTTTTTTAGTTATTCAACATTTTATTTAAAACACATATTTACTAGTAATAAAAAATATTTAATGAAAACATAACATTATATATACACGTCATTTAACCATTTGTTTGAAACAAACAGTATTTATATTAATAAAATAAATTTATATTATATAAAAAATATTAATATTAATAATAATTTATATAAGAGTTTGTTCTAATTATATAATATATATATATATATTAATGAAATTTACACAATTTTTTTATATAATCATCACTACAAACTAATCAAAAGTACTTTTATTTAGTAATAATAATATAATTAAAATATTGTATCTCTAGTTTCATTAAAATTCAATACATTAGTAAAAAGTAAATCATTTTAGCATATTATTATTATTATTATTATTATTATTAYTATTAATTTTTTATATTGTAATAGTGTATTGTAAAAGTTACAAAATTGTACAGTATGTCACTTATTATTATTATTATTACTATTATTACACATTTTTATTATTTATTGATTTTTTACTATTTAGTTAGCTAGTACATTATACAGTATATACTTTATATACAGTATACAATAGTRTTGACTATTTGCCAGTTAGTACAGCTGATATTGAATTGCAATAAATTAGATTAAATTACTGGCATTTTAATATTTTTTTTGTATCTATAATATTCATTTAAATAAAATAAAAATTTTTAATTACTTTTATATAAAAAACACTATTGCATCGAAATAAATTATGTTAACAAATGCAAAATGTTTTATACAGTAGTATTCATAATAATTGCCATACAATAAAAATTAAATATTACTAAATTAAAATAAAACCGCTATATATAACATATTATCACATACAGTATATATGGTATAAATTTATATATATATATAGTATATAAGCATTTAATGTGAATATAACAAATGTTATGTAAACAACATTGTTGGAATTAATTCATAAATAATTTGATATTGTTTATTTAGTAAATTGATTTACCAAAAAAATAACAAAAAGCAAAATAATTACAATTGAGTAMTAATACAATAGAAAATTATTTAAATGCATACATTTATGGTAATATTGGTTATATACCCTTAAGGGAATTATTTGCCAATATTGAAACACATATTATTATTACTAATAAAATAYGGTATTTATACAGTAATTTAGTTATAATAYTATAAATAATAGATATATATGTAAGAATATGTAAGAAAATAAATAGAAAGATAATGATGAATTATTRAATATATTATTTTTTATTATTATTATTATTATCATAATTTATTATGAGTAATGTATATATTTTGATATCAATTRTCTGTAAAAAATAATTGTCAATTAATCTATCTATTAATGAGAATGCAATAAAATAAATATAAATATTTTTTTAATTCGCAGTTTTTTTAATAAATTTTTTTATATAAATATGMAATAAAATAAATTTAACGTAATATCGTTTAGTCAATTATATATAAAYGTTTATTTAAATTGTTTTATTTTATTTTTAAATTAGTTTTTATAGTTAGTATASTGTTGTATAAAGTTAATTTGAATTAGTTTTGTTRTTTTATAAAAATGTAATTTAATAATATAGATTATTAGATTAAATTAATGAATCGACTTACAAACATTTTGTTTAAATGCAAGTAAAAATATRACAATATATTTATATATTTATTTATTAATATATAAAGTATCWGTATATTTATTATTTRAAAATTTCTAAACTAAATAATACAATAAATAGATAATATTTGTAATTTAATTTATTAATAAATATATGGTATAATTTCTATATTCTTTTCAAATATARTATTTTTTATTAATASYATATTTTGTGCAAAAAAATATATGTGACTAATAGTAAGTACAGTACCGGTATTATAAAGTTGTATAGTTTTTTTTGGCAAACATTRCAATCATCACAATATATGATAAAATAACATTTTAAAATCAWTGCTAACATTAATAGTATTTAGTTTATAGAAATTCATTTTTTAACAAAAAAATTGTTTTAAAAGTTAAATAAGTGGTTTTTGAAAAAAATAATGTTTATAATATTATTTGATAAAACAAAATTTGTAATAAATATCCAATTCATAATAAATATCAACAATAATATATTATAGAATCTATAATCTAATATTTATGAAAAAAAATTTAAAATATAGAGATTATTTAAATGTCTAAAATTATTTAAWCAACAATTACAAAAAAWATYWAAAATTTATGTTATTAAATTAAGGTATTAAATAATTAAAACAATTAACATTGAAGYAATTGTTCAATTAATATCAAAATAAAAWTGTTTTTATAATAACWTATCTWGGTAATTGTATAAAAGTAATTTTTTAAAAAATAGTATCATGCTAAATTCATAGATGTCTCTCATAATTGTTTAATGACACAAATAGTGTTAATATTATTTTTTTGATCAACAATTTACGTGTATTAATGTTTTACTTATTTACTATTGAAWTGAATCAAATAGGGTTTACTTTTATATWTATATAAAATATCACATTATTTATGCATTAATTTATATAAACATTTACTTTTYATAATATTTTTTTTATACAACTYTTGACATGTGTTTTATTAATATATGATATAATGATTTTATTTTTGATTTAATTGATATGATTTAACAAAAAACTGTTATACAAAAAAATACCTGTTTTTTATACATAATGTTTTGTTGACTTTTTTGTTGTTGTTGTTGTAATTATATTATGATATATCATATATTATTTTTTTTTATTGAAATTATATCYAACAAAAGTCTACATTTCAAATTTATAATTATGTAATATAATTAACCTAGACATTAAWTATGATTTATTTATTTATTATTATTTTTGATAAAATAAAATTAYAAAAATGTAAGTTTTTAAAAAATAAATAAATATTTATTATAATTTTTAAATAGTTTATTAATTATTTCATTACTTACAACAGTATTTCATATCTTATATTTTGTAAAATACATTTTGTAATTAATAAAAAAAATGTATAAATTATAAAATCTAATATAATATTGAAATTAATTTTCTATATTATAATATATRTGTCTGTGTGTAAATATTATCGATTTTTAATATATATATATATAATTTTTATATATGATAATATAATTTTCTATATCATGATAACTTTGTGATGTAAATATTAATTTAACAAATATTTAATAGTATATATATATATATACAAAAATTTACTCATTTAATATCTAGGTTATTTGTACAATTTTGTTTTATAAAGTTTAATTTTGATCACTGGTATAGATATAATTTTTTCAAATAAATTAAAGTTAATTAGTATATACAGTATATTATTTTAGTTAATAAAATAATTATTGTTTATAGAAAAATATGTTTTTATATATACAGTATATAAACATTATATTAGTTTACGTGCTATTAATAATACCTGTAATAATAATTATGATATAATATTGAATTTTTATTTTTTGTTTGTAAATTTGCTCAATTAAATATTGCTATTTAAATATTATATTATATTTGCATTTTTTGTTTATTACAGTACTRWATAATATTACCGGTATATGTTTTATTTCAATGAATTATTTTCATTATTAAATGTATAATAAAATCGCAATATAAATATAAATAACATATTTTTATCATATTATTTCTTTTTTTATCATATATTTTATGTGACAGATATTATTTCAAAAAATAAATAAATAATAATTTAATAATTATCTGCTTATAATAAAATGTATTATTATTAAGCAATTATTGTATTAATATGATAGAAACAGTATTGTTTTATTTTTAATAAATAAAATTTATATTRAAATTTTTTACTGCAKTGATATACAAAAATAATTTATATAATAATAATAATTTTTAAATATGAATATTTGTATGTATTAATCAAATTATATGATATTTATGATAATAGTGTGATGTATGTGCCGATTGTTATCGCTATTGTAATGATATCCTGTTGTCTGAATGTCATATTTCTCGAAGCAATTATCAGGTTAGCTATGAATAGCCAKTCATTCAATTAAATAATAATTTTCATATAAAATTCATAATTTCTAGTAATCTATTTAGCCTATTAATTATCTAATTTATTTATAAAATTATTATTATACAGTATAAATCAAAAATYGTAAATACATTTTTACCAAATAATATTTTTTGTTTATTGTAGACAATCCCCGGGCAGTGGAAATCTCATAACTTTTGCTCAGTTTTTATTTATAGCAATTGAAGGATTTATATTTACCACCAATTTTTGTACTAAAAATCCTGTAATACCTATTAGGTTTGTATAATTTTTGTTGTTGAAAAATAGTTAAAATTTRTAWTKATTTTTTATTTGTTTTTTTCATTTATTGTKTAAATTTAGAAAATATCTAACATTAGTAATATTCTTCTTTTTGGTGAACGTGTCCAACAACTATGCGCTCAACTTTAAGATATCGGTTCCCTTGCATATCATATTCAGATCCGTATGTCTCGTGTAATGTCTATGTGTTTATGTCTAATGAATTAATTGTCTAATTGAGTGTCTGGTTGTGTTTATATTTAATAATAAAGGGCTCATTGATGGCTAACATGGTGTTGGGTATTATGATACTTAAGCGACAATACACTACATGCAAGTATCTATCCGTAGCCATCATTACCATTGGCATCATAATGGCTACAATGGCTTCGTCGTCRTCATCGCCAAAACTGAGCACCAGTGCCAAAGATAGTGCCAAATTGTCTACCGGTTCCCATATATCAGGTCCCGAAGCTGCAGCTTTTATCAAGCGTCACACAGCAGCTTATGATTATACGATAGGCATATCATTGTTATCATTTGCGCTGATAATGTCGGCCCGTATGGGCATCTTTCAGGAGGTGCTGTTTACAACATACGGTAAATATCCGAAAGAGGCTGTCTTTTATCAGGTATTAGTYACYATCATGTTTGCATTATTGATACTATTACCGGTAATGTTATTTATCTATTTTTTTAATTATTTTTTTAAATAACATATCCATAGCACGCCCTATCGCTACCCGGTTTTATACTTATGATACCTGACATATACAATCAAATGGTGATATTTAATGATTCCGAACCAACATTTTTAAACATACCGTGCCTTTGGTTATACCTTATAATTAATATGATTACACAATATTTTTGTATAATGTATGTCATGGTATTGATGAGTGAATGCACKTCCCTAACGGTGACACTGGTATTAACCATCCGAAAGTTTATATCACTGATTATATCAATATTTTATTTTCAAAATCCATTTACAACTGTCCACTGGTTTGCCACACTATTGGTGTTTAGCGGTTCACTATTATTCATGGATCTTCCGATTGTCAACCAATTTATCTTCCGAGTGACCACTGCTGTGACCACTGGCTTTCGTTATCGTCRACTGGAAAATGTGATAACAATTAATCCTGAATTACGTRAATCTGATAAATCATCTGAAAGTGAATCTTAATTTTTTTTTTTTTTTAATTTATTAACTTATTATTTCKTTACACTGTTRTTAATTTAACGATAATATAATTTATTACATTTCAATTATTTACTTCAAATCTTGTTCAATGTTAATATAATTGTATATTTTTTTAATATATAGTATTATTTATAATAAAAAAAATCAAGTGATTAAATTACCGTAAAGTATATGATTTATATATATTAAAAAAAAAATATTATATTTAATAATCTTTTAAATTTTAGTTTTATAATTATATGCATACTTAATGAATAGATATTATTTTGATTTTTTTAAAAAAATTATAKTTATAATGAATTGAATGAATTATTTTAAGCATTAATTGGCATATTTTTGGACGTATTTGTCGTCAAGTATACGGAAAATTCCCGGTTCTTCCAGTTTGGTATACGTGACACCAATTTGTGGTCTGAATTCAAACCGGTAGACAACATTCGGGTTGTCTTCGGCAACGACCTGTTTGACAAACGACAAGAATCGGTATAAAAAGTTAAGACATTCATTGGGTGACCAAAAACATCGGTAGTTATGCAAYGAATCGACAGAAATACGTTGCAATTGATTGACTCTGAAGTTGTTATCCCTATAACCGAAATAAATGGTAGGAATGCCTACGAGATAGCACTGAGACCACCATTTCATCTGTTTGAACGGCTTTAATGAAGTGGTTGTCTTAATTTCGACAAACTGGTCGACAGTAGCYGACTCGGGTCGGGCATCGCGTGTCAGGCAATCGACTTCACCCGAGATGACTATCTTATGACTCTTACCGCTGAATACGTCATTCAATTGTGTCTTAACAATACCRACGTAACCGCTTCTGTCATTAATGAASACTTGGGAATCGTTTGGCCGATTCKGGTCATCGCTGGTTATGTATTGTTCGAATCGATGACCACTGAAACTAATTCKATTGAACTCTTCGTCCGGCGGCGGCTGTGGTTTGCGGTAATCAAACAAATAGATGTTTCCGCGAAACTTTGTGGCYGTTATGATCAACGGCTCGTATTTTTCATAMGGAAAYGTCATGATATAGGCCAGTGGTGTGCGGCCACAGAAAAAATCGGTGTCCACCAGTTGTTCATAGGATGCGGTCGGCTGCGGGCGATAACCCTTATCAATCCATTCGCCCATTTTATAGACATTAGTCGACATTGATTTAGTCCAATYGATTCCCTGGACGTATCCTTCCAGTAGATCCATGGGTTTGACTGTATTCGCGGGTAAGTGTATATACTTGACCAGTGRYCGGTCAAATACCATCCGATGATTGCTGTCCAACGAGTATTCACCAATTTTGACCGGTTTGTCTCTGGTCACCGATACTGGTCGTCGTTGATCACCATTACCATTGATGGCTAACAGTTGATCGGTTGGTTTGTATCGCCAACTGTTATCGTTGAAGATTTCTGACCACTCTTTGTCAGTAATATTTCGGACAATTTTCGGTTCATGTTTTTCGGTCATCATTTTCTTTTCAGGACAAATACAGTATGTTTTGTGTGATATCTCTTATATTGGGTATAATATCCACACAACTAATGATTTTTTATTATTTAAAAGAAAAATCAAACTTTTTTTCAGACAAAAAAATGCTTTTTTATAGACTAACTAAATATAAGTGTAATATTTGAGACAAAGGCTATGATTTTTTCAATGATTTTTTTATTTAATTGTTAATAAATTTTGTTTTTTGGGCGCAAAATCTTTAAAAAACAATTTTTAAATGTAATAATTGTTTTCTCATTAATTTCAGGCCTTTTTTATTGAAGACAATGTGTTTGTCAGTTATGTATAATAATATTTTGTCCACAAAAATAAAGTTTCAGTCCATTATAWAGCTATTGCATCAACAATATAGAGGTAGTTGTAAATGTATGCCATTATCTTAAAACATGACTGATTAATGGCTAAATAATTTATTTATTTGATCAATAATATTATGAAAAATTAAAAAAAAAGTTACCAATGAYAAAGTTATAAATAATATTAAACYGAATAATATTGTAATTAATAATTTTATAAAATTTATTTTAAAATTAGCCAGATAATTGATGGTTGACTGTTCAAAAAAAAATATATTRGCAAATAATTAGTCSACTGAATTATCTGGCTAATTAATAAATAATCAATTACAATATTATCCAGTATAATATAATTAATAAATTTTTAATTAATTATTATTTGAATCTAATAAACAATTGACCCAGATAATTAAAATCAATAGAGTCTAAATTTTTAGTCTTATCCAATTAAATATATGATTTATAGTTAGAAATAAATATATTCATTTTCATTTAAAATATTATATAATCAATATATAGTATAATTGATTAAAATAATTTAATATTTTATTATTATTAACAATAATAATATATTTGTATTTACTATTTTATAATAGTTTATAATATTTATTTATTTTCTATATTTTTGGATAAACTTTTCGTGAATCACACGAAAAACTCCCGGTTCTTCCAGTTTAGTATATGTAACACCAATTTCGGGTCTAAACTCGAACCGATAGACAACATCCGGATTATCGTCGGCGACGACCTGTTTGACAAACGACAAGAATYGSTGCAAAAAGTTAAGACAAACATCCGGTGACCAAAACATTGAGTTTTCGGTCAGTTCGGTAACATCAATGTGCTTGACTTGTCTGACCCGAAATTCGTTGATACAAAAGTCCAACTATTATAGTGGAAAGGCCTACAATAAATGTCTGAGACCACCATTTTTTTCTAATATTTTCATTCAACTGATGGCTAATCTTCAACTCGACAAACTGGTCGACATCAGTCCTCTCTGGTCTCACATTTCGTTTAATACAATCCATTGAACACGAAATGACTAATTTGTGTGACTGTCCGCTAATATTGTCATTGAGTTTGGTCTTCAATAGTGTTACATAACTATAGCGATTGTCATTGTTTTGAAATGTYTCATCAGTAGTAGTAGTAGTAGTACGACGACAATGAYTGGTATTATTGGTGGTCATGTAATATCTGAACCGATGATTACAATAAGCGWTTTGTTTMAAYWTTTTATTGRGTGTCGACGATCGTCCAGTTTTATAATTATACAAATAGATGTTTCCGCGAAACTTAGTGGCCGTTACGATCATCAATTCGTTGACCTCATACGGAAATCTTAGAATATGCGATAGTAGTTCTCGGCTACAGAMAAAATCGGTATCCAATAGCGGTTGACCGGTCGGGACGTCYGGTCGGTAACATTTGTCAATCCATTCAAGTAATTCATRTACTTTAWTGGRCGRACAGACACTACTCGCAACACTATAATTRCCATYATTTTTATTATYATTWTYATTATYATTATCATAATCTTCGAGTAAATCCATACCRACTATATTATCGGAATATCTAGATATYTGACGGYTGACTSTTTGAATACCAAATGGCAATCCTTGTCCAACAGGTATTGACCTATTTTTTCGGGYTTTTCTCGGATAACGCTTTTCGTTTCATTTTTTATTATTGGCAATAGATTTTCATTTTTGAAATCCGACTTAAATATCTTTGACCACAATTGGCAATCAATTTCTTTAACAATTGTGTATTCATCAGACATTTTTATTAATGTATACTTTTTATTRTTCAATAAAATTATGATAATATAAATRTTTTTTTAATATAATTATCTAATGTTTTGTGCTTACTCTATGTATTTATAAATACTGTACATTATATATTGTTATGTGTAGTATTGTTTAGTTCCAGAGGAATGTCTACTCAGACAATAAACTAAATAGATATTATGAGAACTTCCCGTCTAATCGATACTAAACACTAGTAGATATGAGTCGTTATGAGACAGATATCCACTATAAGATCACCAGTTAAGTCGTTATTAGACCAACGGGTGATATAAGAGCCGATCTTGCAGTTGTGGTACACGAGTGGTAGCCAATGGGTTGATCCAAGCCTTCAATGTATGACAAACCAAATCTATGATCAGCGGAGCGGTATATCTGGTGAATCAGTGAACTTGATGGTCGGTGCCTGTAATGAATTGGTGGTCACATTTTTCACTGATGTAGGAATTTGGACACAAGATATCAATAATAGATTTTAACAATTAAAACAATGGTTAAAATAATGGTGGATAAGATAGTACACGTGTTGTACAGTATGTAATAAAAGTAAGTATAAAAGTATTGACTGAGAGGGATGTATGGTATAACTGGTACTAAGACACTAACTGCCTGTTTGACTGTTGTGTATTTATACTGTACAGAAACATTGATTTTTAGTTTGAATGTATACGGTTTGATATGATAGTTGGTAATTCATTGTGGTGCCAGTGAATGGTAACAATGACTGGTATTTATGAGGAATATGTAGATAAGGAATAAAGTATAAATGTACTAAAATAAATATAGTATTCAATACAATGCAAATAAAATGATAAAATTAATGGTAAAAATATAGTCATATTTTAATCCTCAACAATATAATCATTACATATTATAAGTTAAATATTTAAATATATTTTTAATRTYTGTTTTTATCAGACATTTATTGATAAAARTATATAAAGCGAATTMATTTTTATGATAATTATTTGTATATAACTTATGATTGMTATAAAAAAATTTTATTAGTCATATAAATTTATGTTTTTATATACAAAACAATATTATTTAAATACCCGCAATTGTTAAATTAWTATTCATTATAWATTTTTTATTAGACTATTTTTTTATTATACTTAATAAAAATATTAAGCAATAATTGTRYATTATAAAATTATTAACAATATTATAAATACATARATATATATAAAAATAATTATCTGCTATAAATGTYAATTATATAATAATAATAATMATSTATAATRYAATAAAATTCTACTGTATATTTAAACTAACTAAAAAATWAATAAATGTGTGATATTTTTAAAACATTAAYCYAAAGCAATAGTAAAACTGAAAAATAATATTTTCAAAATCTYTAAATTGATAAAAACTTAWCAAATATTTTTTTGATCAATAATTGATGCCTTAATTASAKTACTTTTTAMTRAACTTYTCKTAATTAATTATYATAATCTTMCRGTATATCYATACCKACTACAGATATTTTATTATTGTATACTTTATTATTTAATAAAATAATTTATMTTTTRATACATTAGYTAAATAATTGTTTAATTATTAATATTATCTATWAGAATACTTTTTTTTTATTTTACTTAATAAAAATATTAATCAATAATTATACATAAATTCAAATAACAATTTTACAGAAAATACTTATATAATATACTGTACTAAAGTTAATTTAAATAAAAATATATAATATTATAAAAATTAGGTACAATCTTAATCGCCCCATATTTAATATTCAATTAAAAAATTATTATTAAAATTAAAAATGAATTATTAATTATAAATTTTTAATCAAAGACCACTTATGTTTATATTGACCACAAAATTTCAGTGGTTAGTTATTCAAAATTGATACTTAAAAGCCTATATTATATAATAATTAGATTTTATCATTGAATGTATTTTTACTGATTATTATTTTCACTAGTGACCAATGGTCAAATTTCGTCAATATTATCAGAAATTAGTTATTTATCATTAATTTATAATTTTTAAACATTATAAATAATTTATAATTACTTTTAATTAAATATTGACCATTGGTCAAACTTGGTCATTATTATTAAATTCAATGATAAAATTTAAATATTATATAATAAAAATGTATAAAAAGTATTTAAAAATAATTTTGATCATAACTGACCACTGGTTAAATGTGGTCAAATGTAAAAACAAGTGGTCTTTGTTTAAAAATATATAATTAATAATACATTTATAATTTTAATTATAATTTTAATAATAATTTTTTAATTAAATATGGGGCGATGGGGCGATTAAGATTGTACCTAAAAATTATTACTAGTGTCTTGATTTTCAACTAAAAAAATTATTTTGTCGGTTTAACGCTTATAAATAATTGTTTAATTATTTTATTATAACTATAAATAACTATTTGTTATTAGCAACTATAAAAACTTATAAATAACTATTTCAGTTATTTTGAAAAATATAACATTAGATTTAAAATAAAAATATTAAACAAAAATTAGTTATATAAATTATATAACAGAAAACTTTTTTACAATAGAAATATTTATATTTAATAAATCATTTTTGTAAATATGCTGAAAACAAGTGAATTATATATCAGTTGAAATATTTATAAGAAAATAAATTATTTCAATAACTATTTGGCTTTTTTGGCAATTATATAAATATTTAATACAGTTTAAATAACTATTTTAACAACTAATATATAATTTAATTATAAAAATTATTAATCAATACACTAATTATTACCAATAATAACAAATACATAAAAAATATGTAAAAAATAACTGTCAGTTATACTACAGCATAATAATAATCTATAATAAAATTCAATATTTAACTAATAAAGAAAATCAATAGTTTGTAAAACTTAAAGCAATAGTAAAAATATAAAACTGCAAAATAATAATAAAAAATGACCATAAATTCAAAATTGATAAAACTTATCAAATATATGATAATAATAGATGACTTAATTAGTGTACTTTTCAATGAACTTCTCGTGAAGTATACGGAAATCTCCCGGTTCTTCCAGTTTAGTATACGTGACACCAATTTCTGGTCTAAACTCAAACCGATAGACAACATCCGGATTGTCTTCGGTRACGATCTGTTTGACAAACGACAAGAATCGATGCAAAAAGTTGAGACACACTTCGGGCGACCAAAATGACCGATAGGTGTGCAACGAGTCCACAGAAATACACTTTAATTGATTGACTCTGAAATTGTCGTCCCGATAGCCGACATGAATTGTGGGAACGCCTACAATATAACTCTGAGCCCACCATTTTAACTGTTTAAACGGTTTCAATGCATTGGTGACCTTAATCTCGACAAACTGGTCTACAGTAACCGATTCGGGTCGGGCATCGCGAGTAAGACAATCGATTTCACATGAGGTGACAATTTTATGTGTATTATTGCTTGAATTGTCGGTCAGTTTAGTCTTAACAATACCGACGTAAGCAGTTCTGTCATTATTGAACGCTTGGGATTTGTTTGGCCGATTCGGGTCATCGCTGGTCATGTATTGCTCGAATCTGTGACCACTAAATATAATTTGGTTRAACTCATCGTCCGGCGGCGGCTGTGGTTTGCGATAATCAAACAAATAGATGTTTCCGCGAAACTTTGTGGCCGTTATGATCAACGACTCGTATCTTTCATACGGAAACGTCATGATATAGGCCAGTGGTGTGCGRCCACAGAAAAAATCGGTGTCYAGTAGCGGACCGTCGGCGTCGTCGACATCCTGAGACTGCGGTCGATAGCCTTTATCAATCCATTCGCTCATCTTATAGATGTGATTRGACGGCGATTTACCCCAATTGACATCAGTGTCGTAGCCTTCTAGCAGATCCATACTATACACTGTGTTAGGTATGTTCAGATACYTGACCAGTGGYCGGTCGAAGACTATGTGATGATCGTTRTCTATGGAATAATCACCTATTTTTATCGGTTTACTTCTGGTCACTCGCGATCGGTTCTCTTTGCTGACGGACAGTGTCTCGTTTGCCAGCGATGATGGCCTTGAATATCGGTAACCATTGAATATTTCTGACCAAACCTTTGGATCGACATCTCTGACTATTTCGAACTCTTCGGTCATTTTGCTGTTATTGTTGTTCAACAATATAATTATATTCTTATTATAATTATTAGTATATATTATTAATATTATAATATTTATAATTGAATTTAAGTTAAATAACAATTTAACTTTGAATATAATAAATATGAATATAAAGTAACTATGAATATAAAAAACTATTGRTTTTTATAATTCCGATATCATTATTATTTAGTCTACAATATTGATATGATTAATTAATAATTATATTATTAATAAATGCAAAATAGTACAGTATATAWAATTATATCTATTTGTATAATAATCTATAATTGTTTAAACAAACAAAATTTTTATTGATATTAAATTAGAAAATAAGTAAAACTAATTTGTGATTCATATTAATATCATTGATAAACACTTATTGTTGCTTACGCTTACAGTTAACTTTATCATTAAAAAATTAATATACAGTATATAATATAAATATGATAATCTACTAGAAATTTTGATTTACATGCATTTTCATACATTAATTAATAATTAGAATTAATAATACAATTTTATTAAATTTAATAGATTATAATTAACAGTATTTACAMACTATTGTATAGATTTAATATAAAATAATATAAAGTCACTGACCTAAGCTTTAAATACGATATTAATATCTCCTAAAATTGTTATTTTATTTAATAATCTTTATRTCCATTTACTAATAAATTTACTTATTAATTAATAAAAATAAATTATAAATATGAGGAAACAATTTTAAAATAATTATTTTAATTCTARTAATATTAGACTAATATAATAAGAAAATCTTATTTAATAAATGAAACATATMCTSTATTTTAACTTTATTATTGTATTTATATATTTACATATACTGTATATACTGTATATAATATACGGTACACTAATTATAATATYAATACCGGTATACTGTATAAATATTTATATAGAGATATATAATAGCAACTATTATTTCGATTGTTATATTTGATTAAATTTAGTACTAAAATATTACATTTTTAATGCTACTTTAATAAYTTTGAATTATTTTATAGTTTATAATTAATTGATGATAACTTATAATAAATAAAATAATTTTTAGGCATTAAAATCTGAATGACTTAAGAATTTTTTACCKTACAATATATAAARTATTAGTATAGATAACAATATATATATATATATATAATTTATATATATATATAAATTTATATATGAATAGTTTAGKMWAGTTAGACATAAAACTATTTGTACCTTAAATTAATATTCATATATRTATATATWTTTTTWAAAACAYAAATAYATAAGTGTTAGTAAATTTAAAGTTACATAACAACAGATATATTATAAAATAGTTATTGTTAAAAATTATTGTATTGTTTTCTAAGTAAATATTGATCTAAATATATAAAAATATTTTAATAACAAATGTATAAATAAAATAAAAGTTACTATTGAATTAATATATTGAGATAAAATAAAATAAWTATATAACAAACAAAAATATGCTTTAAAATTATTTATCATAAACTTTGTACATTTATTAGAAGCGCWTTCAATATAAAAATTTTATTATTTAAAATATATATAATATTTAGCAATAATAACTTTTGAAAAAAKTAAAATACTAATTACATAATTGAAAATATTAATTCAAAATAAAAGGTTCGTAATTATAAAATAATTTTGTATAATAATAGTAAACTAATGAATATAACGTATGAAATGAATATTTGCTACAATAATAGTCATCAAAAAGTTTGAAACGATGATATAGTATATCAATTGAGGTATCATTAATCCCTTGCCATATGATTGACATTTTTGAGTACCAGCAGAGGTCAAGGCGTTCAACATTACAGTTACCCTTTAGGTTCCGACATAAAAGCTCGGGTATAGATCGGCGCTCAATATTCAACATTTGTGCTACTATTCCAGTGATGAACAGGTCCTCAAATGGTAAGGCTGGAAGTGCTCTAAGTATGGCTGTTCTATATACAGATAAAGTCAATTGACCAGGGATCATRTATATACCACCAGTATAGTCAGGATAGACATCATTAGGATAGTCCTATAATAAGTTAAACAAATAATTTGCTAATTGTTTTTAAAAAAATTTCAATCATTATTATATACAAACACGGGTACTGATAGCCCATTTCCAATTATCCCGATTATACTGACTGTCCGGATAATCTCGTACTACAAGAGCTTTATGCCATACGTGTCCATAAATAGCATCGGGAACTGAATTCTTAGCGAAGTTAATCAAATTGTTGGCCAACACAACAAAGTCGTCGTCTACTTTCTGGACAAACCTGACTAATGGACAGTTCATTGCTGTCCATCGAAGTATTGCTATTGATTTAATGGTAAGTTTATAATATTTTTCTACATATGATAACTGAATGATGTCGTGATGAACACTGTCTTCATCGACTAGTTTTCTTTGTATGTCTATTGAGTTGGACAGACCCACAACAAAGTACAGCATTGAACGGTTGTCTAGTTTGAAATCCCGGCCCCACGTCTGGCGTATTAATTGACGAGAACTAAAGTTGATTACATGACTTACTACCATTACGAGCACATGTAGGTCAGCACCGGCYTGTTTACTACACAGACCTTTAGTTATCGGACTTTTTCCAGTGATTTCATAGATCTCTTCCGGAAATATTAATCGAGACTTTGAACGACTTTTTAATGAATTTTGTAGAGAATATAGGCTTTGATTGTAAAGCGATTCGTCCAATGAGTGAATTTCCCGATAAATATCTMTTAGTTTGTGTCGGATATCTGATTCAGATATTTTTGTCGACACAACAATCGGTTGATTTGTGTTTAATTTACTAATATTKAKGATATAAAATACTATTATTAATAGTAATAGCAATATATTTAATGATATAAGTTTTTGTCGACAGATTATACGGGTTGGCCAGTGTTTGATTARCCGATGTATTGACTGGACTACTAATTTGTTGCGCAACATAATTGTGTTAATAATAAACTAAAGTAATATTAATTATTAAAAGTTATTTTAAACATAAAAGTAATTTTATGTTTATATAAAAAATACTAAAAAACTTTTACAATGAGTTATCTTTTATTAATTTTGCTTAATAATAATATCAATAATAATATTAATAAATATCATTACAAATACTTGTAAATATAAATTAATATTTTAAAATAATTTTAATAATTATTATAGAATAAATATATTATTAAACTTTGAATTATATATTTTAATTTACTTTTTTTATAAATTATATATTTTTATTTACTTTTATTATAAATTATATATTTTTAAACATTATATTTATTTATTWATTAAAAATTATTTTATAGAATTAAACTGTTAACATTTATTAAAAGTAATAATTAATTTTATGTTGAATTTAACTCAATTATTGATTTGTATAACATTTTGTTTGATAACATTATGGCATTAATATATGGATTACGTAACAGAATAGTGTTAATGTTATATTGTATTGTAATTAGTTTTCATAATAATTTGAATACCAAACAAAAAACTTAAATATTGTTTTATATTTTTTATTATAATTTAAATGCAACTTTGTTTACTTAAAACAAATTGAATTAAAAGTTATTTAAAAACATAATCTCAATGAAAAGATACATTTTTCACTAAAATAAATTATTTTTTTAAACCATTTGTTCAAAATATGTTTATTATTTTTATAACCTTTAAATCAATATTTTTAAACATTATTTGAAAATTATTTTCATAGTTAATTATAGATGCAATTTTARTATATAATTATCTGTATAAAAAACACTGTTTGATAAAATATAAATCTATTTGTTAAAAAGCATTTTTAGTCAAAAATAAATATTATTTATTAACTTTGATTATATATATATAWATATATMTATATATATTATGCTGTAATATTAATTTACATATAAAATATATAACATATAAGATTAAAAACACAAAATTATTATTATTAAGTTACCTTAATATTGAACTATTAATAGTAAACTTTAACAACAAAATTAATTTAAACATTAAAAAATAATAAAATTTAACATTTCATATTAATATAGTCGTTATCAAYAAAACTTGTTTCATTATCATTTAATTGATTGATTAGTTTAACATATTCACACAAATTAGTATACATTTTATTATGTCTAACAGGTCCTGATATGACATACTGTTGATCCCGGAGCAGTTCTATGCCACACATTGAACTAGTATACGGTGTATAGATTTTCGGTTCATCCACATCGGTATTATTATCTTTGATCAATTGAACGATATCGACGCCATACCATACCTCACGATTGCTTGAATTGGTAGTTAACACTTGCCGTCGGGTCGTAACGTTGGCCACAATCATATACTGTGTCGTACGGCTGCAGTAATATCTATCGATTGACATTTTCATACACGAACAACACTGACACCAATTTATATTATTATTAATAGATATTATTGCTATTAATACAATAAATTTATTATAATTCATATTTATTTATTATTTTACAATTGTTTTATTTAATAATAAACTAAACTATAAAYTAAATAATTTGTTGATTATTTTTGGAGTAAATTTGTATCCATATTTGTAATATTATTTGTAACCTAATACTGTAATATACTGTAYACTGTATATAATTATATAWAAATAATAAAAATATTTCATAACTTACTTGTTAGTACACTTATTTTTTATAAATTATATGATATCTAATATRTTATCCATATACAGTATGAATTATATTTAATGTTTTAATAAAAGTAAAATAATAATAATTAATTAGTAATAAGATTAAATTTAGACTAGTCATAAAGTAGACAACAAAATAACAAATTAATTAATTAATTAAAAAAGTCTAAATTTATATTTATTACAGATTTAATTATAAAATAAATAATTATAATAAAAATAAAAACTTATTTATTAAATCGTTAATAATATATCAATATAATAGTATGTGAAAACATAAATAATACCATATATGTTAAATTATTTTCATTAGTTTTTATTTTTCAAAATAAAAGTTTGATTAATTATTAAGTAAAATATTTACAAAAATTATTATAAAAATTATATATTAATTACAGTTTTAATAAAAATGTTAATCTAAAATACACGGCTCATAATTATAAAAATATTTTATGTAATAATAGTAGACAACTGAATATAAGGCATGAAATGAATATTTATTACAATAGTAATCATCAAATACTTTGAAACGATTGTAAAGTAAAGACATTGATTTGTCGTCAATCGCTTGCCATATGATTGCACTCTTTGAGTACCAGCAGAGGTCAAGGCGTTCAACATTACAGTCACTTTGTGGGTATCGGTATATTAGTTGAGGCATAGGTCGGCGCTTAATATTTAACATTTGGGCCGCTATTCCAGTGATAACCACATCCTCAAAGGGTAAGGCTGGCAGTGCTTTAAGTATGACTGTACTGTATAGAGATAATGACTTATGACCAGGGAACAAGTATATACCACCAGTAAAATCAGGATATATATTGTTGCGATAGTCCTATAATAAATTGAACAGTTAGTTTATTTATTAGTATTAATTTAGGTAATTGTAATTTAATTATTATAAGTATACAAACACTGGTACTGATGGCCCACTTTTTCTCATCCGGATTAGTCRTATTATCACGTATWACTGSAGGTTTATGCCATAYGTGTCCATAAATAGCATCGGGAACTGAATTCATRGCAAAATTAATCAAATTGTTGGCCAACACAACAGTGTCGTCGTCTATTTTCTGGACAAACTTGACAAATGGACAGTTCATTGCTGTCCACCGAAGTATTGCTATTGATTTTATTGTAAGCTTATAATAGTCYTCTAAATATGGTGTCTGAATGATATCGTGATGAACATTGTCTTCRTCGASTAGTTTTCTTTGTAYGTCTATTGAGTTGGACAGACCCACAACAAARTACAGYTTTGAACGGTTGTCTCGTTTGATATCCCGGCCCCAAGTTTGTCTTATTGTYTGACGYATACGAAAGTTGGMCACATAACTTACTACCATTACGAGCACATGTAGGTCAGCACCGGCYTGTTTACTACACAGACCTTTAGTTATGGAACTGTTTTGAGTGATTTCATAGATCTCTTTCGGAGGTATTAATCGTGATTTTGAACGACTATTTAGTAATTGTTGTGAAGAATGAAGACTTTGATTGTATAGCCATTTGTCCAATGAATGGATTTCCCGATAAATATCTCTTAATTTGTTTCGGAGATCTGATTCCGATATTTTTGTGAACACAACTATTGGTTGATTTGTGTTTAATTTAGTAATAGTAATCATATAAAACACTATTATTAGTAGAAATAGAAATATATTTAATAATATATGTTTTTGTCGACACAATCTACGGATTGGGAACYGTTTGACTGACCWATGTATTGATTGGACTATTATTTTGTTGGCCAACATAATGATTTTACTAATGATTGAAATTAAATTATTAATAAAAGTTAATTTAAGACTAATAAATAATATTATGTTTTTAGATTTTATGTTTAYATTAGTAAAAAATAATAATTTCTAAAACAAAAATTCTGTTATTATTTTATGAGTGACAATTATTTTCCACAAAWWTTGCTTGATAATTGTATTTTAAAAAAACTAATTAGACATAAGTATTTATAATAATTTATTATTAAATTATATTAGTATTTTAMAATAAATTATAATATATATATATATATATATATATATATATATTYGTATAGTAATATTTGGTAATGTSTAAAAAAGTACATAAAACGAGATCAAATTATTATTGTTTTAACATTTCTATATTATTATAAAAAAATATAACAAATTATAAATAATAATATAAAAAATTATGYTATCATTTTAGTATTTAATTAATATTATTTAATACATCTCTAGTTTACTGTAATTAAACAGTTTATATAACAATATTTATATATTCAATGCAAAATACACGGCTTATAACCAAAAATAAATTTTGTGTAATAATAGTAGACAACTGAATATATGTTATGAAATGAGTATTTATTGCAATAGTAGTCATCAAATACTTTGAATCGATGATATAGTATAGCCATTGAGGTGTCATTRATTGCTTGCCATATGATTGAGCTCTTTGAGTACCAGCAAAGGTCAAGGCGTTCAATATCACAGTCACTTCGGGGATCCCGATARAGAAGTTCAGGCATAGGTCGGCGCTCGATGTGTAACATTTCGGCTAATAGTCCAGTAATAAACACGTCCTCAAATGGTAAGGCTGGCAGTGCTTTAAGTATGGCAGCCCTGTATAAAGTTAGAGACTTTTGACCAGGGATCAAATATGGACCACCGATATAATCAGGATAGACTTCATAGGGATAATCCTAATAATACAAATTAATTCAAATTACAACAATATTATTTGATATAAATTATTATAAACACTAACACTAGCACTGATTGTCCACTTTTCTCCATCATTTCGTTTAACCGATGCTTTGCTCCACAAGTATCCATATATAGAGTCCGGATCGGTATTTTGGGCAAACTTTATCAAATTATCGGCCAATACAACAGTGTCGTCGTCTACTTTCAGTATAAACTTGACTAATGGACAGTTCATTGCTGTCCACCGAAGTATTGCCATTGCTTTTATCGTACAGTTATAATAGCTTTCTAAATATGGCCACTGAATGATGTCGTGATGAACACTGTCTTCGATGAGTAGTTTTCTTTGTATATCTGTTGAGTTGGACAGACCTACGGCAAAGTACAACTTTGACCGTTTGTCTCGTTTGAAATCCCGTCCCCACGTATGTCGTATTGCTTGTCGTACCAGATAATTGTCAACACTATTCAATACCATTACAAGCACTTGTAGATCGCCACCGGCTCTACCACTACACCGACCTTTAGATACGGAACTGTTTCGAGTGATTTCATAGATCTCTTGCGGATATATTAACCGAGACTCAGACCGACTGTTTGGCAACTGTTGACTCAGGAAACGTTGACTTTGATCATAGAGATGACCGTCCAGTGAGTGAATCTCCCGGTAAATAGCTTTTAGTCGTTGCCGAAGATCGCGTACAGATATTTTTGTGGACACAATTGTCGGTCCTTTTATGTATAACATAATACTTGTTATGATATACAGCGAAAATACTAGTAATGCCATTATGTTTAACGTAATAAACAGTCGTTTAATACAGAGTCGACCGGACGGCGAACGTATGGCTGACCTTAGGATGTCGTCCAGCATTTTGTTGGGTAACATAACTGATTGATAGCTAATAATATAACAACAAATTTTTTTATGATATTATTTTTATTTTAAATTTAATTAAACAAAGTTTGTTATGTTTATTATTCATTCATTCATATCAAATCATATTAAATATCAGTAAATATTTATTTTATAAAAATATTTTTTTATTTATATTAATAGCAATAACTGTTCATTAATTTTTTGTGATAAAATAATGTTTTTTTTAAAGAATAATTAATATCTTAAAATGTTTATTAATTTATAATTATGAATTAATGTATAAACATATAAATATATTTATTGTATAATATACTATATTCAGGTTACATTAGTGTCATAATAAATCATTTTTAGAAATAATATTAATATAATGTATATTTTACTGAATTTATTTGTATTAATTAATATATTATGCATATTATTAGTAACAAAATGTTAATATTATTTATAATATGTAAAAATCTAAGTATATATTCTATATTATAGAGTCTATGAGTCCAAACACATAGATTTATAAGTTAACATTAAATTAAATAAATATTTATTTTTTTAATTAAGTTTGGATCCAGTGAACTTATCTAGCTATATTATAAATTTTGTATTATTAATAATAGTAATTTAATTACTCAACAACACAGTTAAAATTGTAAAATATTAATATATATATATATTAATAAATAACGGATAATATTGTATAAAAAATATAGTTTAAACTAAACAATAATAATTATAATAGATTTAACATTTATAGCATTTAAATAACAACATTAATTCTCAAAATTCATTAAATTATTATTATTATTATAAGAAAAAACAAGTATATGTATAGTATAAATATTTTATATCTGAAAATAACTTAATAATAGAAATATTTCACTAAAATTTAACAATTGTTTAATTAACACTTTTACTTAAAACCAATATTTATGCCATTTATAGAAAATATTCACTTTCTATAACTTTATTACTTTTTCAAATAACTGTCGACTATTTTATGGGYCAATCTATTGACTTAAATCACTATACAAGGGATAGCACTAGAGATGGGCAAGTAGAAAGTTTCTAATAAATTTCCATAAGAAAATTTCTCAGGAATAAATTTCTATAGAATTTAACTTTTATGTAATACTATGGGATCCCCATATCTATAGCTATTGTAATACTATAAATATATTAAAGAGACAATATTGTATGTATAATATTATAATGTAATAAACTATTATATAAATGGGATACCTATATAAATAATTATAATTATTTAATAATAATCAGTTTTGTAAAATTTTATTCACTTTTTATTAATTAATAATTAAATTAATTAATATTATAGTAAAATTATAGTAAAAAACTAATAATATTATTTAATTATTACTTGTAAAAAATGTTACAAGATAATAAATATTAAGAGAACAAAATTAACCATGGGGAAACCATAGATAGAAATTTCTTTTAGAAACTTTCTAGAAATTTCTCTATTATTTTATACATTTCTCTTTTTTGCCAACACTAGATAGCACTGACCATACCTTTTATGCTTTGATATGCCTGTGCTATACGACTGAAACAATTATTATATCAAAATTTTTATAATTAAATAAAATGATTTTTAATTGTTTGGTGCGCCTAAAAAATAAATACAGTAAAACTTTTRGCAAATGTTWWAMATATATAATATAATTTTAATCTAAAATAATATAACTGTAATTTTTCTTTTATAACCTATCAGTAAATAAAAATAGTAGTCAAACATGTTTTAATAATTAATAATCAATTTGCACATCAAAAACAAAACAAATAAAAAACTTTTTATTGCATTTGAGAGTCATTTAACATTAATTACTTATTGAATTGATCGCATAATATTATTGTTAAATTTGTTGCGATGGTGACTTCAATTTTTAGTAAAAAAATCTCACAACAAAAAAATTATTTATTTAAAATACAAATAAAATATGAATTAATATGAAGTGTATTTAAATACAACTTAAATAAATATTTACTACAATATAATTAGTGTAATATTTTTAGTTTATGTTTATATACAAACCGATAAAAACTAAATAAAAATAAAAATAATTTTGACTAAAATTTTTATAATCAAAATATAAAGTTATATGATTTATAATGAACCAATAGTTTAATAGAATAATTATAATTTTTTAATATTTAATTATTTATCATTTTACATATACATTTTTATTTAAATTATAATTTATAAAATATATAATTTAAATAATCTAAAAATTAGCAATTAATAATTTTTACTTACTTGTTTATAATTTACTTAAATAATTAAATTATATAATTATGTACATGTTAAAAAATAATAACATACAAACTTAGTAAATTAATTAAATTAATTAAATTGTAAACATATTTAATTATTATTATTATATTCAAGAAATTTATGAATTCATGATTTTTATCGATAAAACTATTGAAGTTTTTTATTATTATTATACAGAATAATGAATAAAATGATTGCAAAAAATTGCGGCTAAATATAAGGCACGTGTAGTGAAGTCGTCGATTCACTAAATAAAAGCTCACATAAAATGCGCAAAACTGACTATAAATATGAGTTCATAAAGTATTGATTTGTTAAATAATTTATTAATTAAAATTACAGTATAGTATATTATAAATTGTTATGTAAAGGTATATTATTAAACTAAGTGATAGCAATTAATTTTATTACATCAATTACAAAATATTAATCTTTTTTAACATTATATTAAACAATAATAATTTATTCAATGATAGTACTATGCTATTAGTTAACTGATTAAATAAATAAATGTTAGTTTTATGTATATATGTATGATGTTTTACTTGAGTTATTGATAATATATTAAATAAAAAATATCATATATATATATATATATATGATATACAGTATAACAATAAAAAATTATTCAATAAAAAATTGATATTAAATTTTTAAAAAATCAATAAATTGAAATACTTAAAACGTTAGATGGCAGCTCTATAAATGTCAAAATAATAATTATTATATGTATTATATTTAAAGTCTATGCAAATACAAACTATGAAATAATTTTAATATAAATAATAGTATTAATAATTAATTATTTGACATTTATAAATCAATAAAAATCTATTAATCATATATATATATATATATATATATGTTTGATAGAAATAGCTATTTTTAGTAAACATGAAATCATTAAAGTTATTATTATTATATTGTCAAATGTATAAAAAAATAATATTATTTATTTTATATTTGTTTTAATCCTTAATTTAATTATAATGATTAATACGTGTTCACGCGTGCATTTATATATGAATAAGATTATAATATATATATGTGATTATTAATGATACAATAAATTTTTATATTTATTATTTCATATGTTTTAAATAATTGTAAATAAAAATTTAAAAATATATAATTTAATTAGTTTTTTTGTTTATATTTGTGTATGAGAAAATCCTTCAAATATAATATTTTGAAAATTATATTAATTAAAAATATGAATAATAATCTATAAATATAATTTTATAATATTATCCATTATATATAAGAAAAATTATATTAATTTATTGAATGATATAATAATAATATGCTATAATTTAATTTATTGATTACTAGTTATATATTTATTCTAAGTTAAATTTTATAGATTTTAATTATAAAATAATTATAGTAATATTTCATTCAATTTTTCTCATAATAAAAAATTATAGTAATTACARTATATTGAATAAAAAATATAAATATAACTTTTGATGATCTATTTAAACATTTTTAAAAATAATTCATTACTCATTTAAATATATTAAATTTTAAATATATTATTTTTGGATTAGCCTTCAAATTTTATCTATATTAGTAGTTATAAAATTTGTAAAAATTTAGTTTACAAAAAATAGTTAAAAACAACTATAAAATTATGACAAAAAACAATTATAGGTATAATGTAATGACACTGTTTTCAATGACAAACAATGAGTAATAATAATATATGACATTTGAAAAAAATAAATGTTTATAAATTAATTTTTTTTCATTGCGAATATCTAAACAATAAGTTAAAATTTAATTTAAAATTTTATAATTTATAAATAAATGGGCGTAACATTGTGTCAATTAAATAATTAAAGCATATAAGAAAAATTCAGTGTCATATAGAAATATTTGTTGATAAATAACTTATTATAATAATCATAAGTATATGAAAAAAAATTATTAAAAAATTAATTATAGATATTAAAACTTGAAATAATAATAATATTTTTTTTGCTAAAAAAATTTTATTTAATAATTTTAAAATAAATTTACTAATTTATGTTTTTCTGAGAAATTAGATTTTCACTTTTTAACCAAAAAAAACTAAAATATTTAAAACTTATAATTGTAGGTCATTTTAAACGCTTTAAGATATACTAAAAAAATTAATCCCTAAAAAATAGTTAACAATTTGATTAATCCGTTAAAATACTTGTGATAATATAAATATATAGATTTTATTTACATTGATATTTTTTTGTATAATCWATTTGTCATAATTAAAATTTTAGTTTCACAAAAATCACTTTTCTTTTTTTATATAAAAAATTGTCTAAATATTTAATGAAATAGAATATTTGAATTTTTTTTCGTAAAAAAAGTAAATTCACATTTAATTTTTTTAATTTACCATTAATAAGTTTTCTTTAATCATTTAGATAACACATTTAATTAAAAATTAAAAACGTGTTATGAAATTAAAAAATAATATTTGATTTTAAAAAATAAGATTCATGATTTTGATATATTTATTATTTATTAATTTTGTGCTAATAAGTTATAGTAAATAACAACTTTTTAGTTGATTGCTATCTTATCATAATTACTAAATACCGGTAGTCTATGATTCAATATATATATGTATTTTTAATTTACACAAATTAATTTAACTCAATAATTACAATACTGTATATTGTAATATATAYATATTATGTATCTATCAATTAATTAATATAAATATTAATTATATTAATTAATTGTTATTAATATTTATAGACTTATATATATATGCATATTATAATAATAAAAAACTTATTATAATATAATTAATATACAAAGGAGTGTATAAACAATTTATTATATAATTTAATTAAATGCTTTACAAWAATTATTGGTAATTTTTAATATTTCTAAGTGAAATTAATAAAACAGTGAATAAAAAATGTTAATTTATTAAATAAATTATTTGTTATTATATTAATAATTAAAAAATATTATATATTCTTTACAAATTAATTATTGAAATTACAGTTTTTTAATATATTTAATTGAAATTTTATTAATATCAAAAAAATAAAATAAAATAATCTTTTAAATGTACTCAATTTATACACTATTTATCATTTCTACTTTGCTTCAAAGGTTAACAGTATCATTTGTATTTTTTTTAATTAGTATTATTGACAAATATTTGTGAAATAATGCTAAAAAAATATTGTGATAATTATAACATATGATAACAGTATACCTTAAAGTAATGTACTAATTAAAATATAATCTAGATAGATTACAGTAAATACATAAATATATATCAAATAATAAATAATTTTTTTTATAAAAGACTTTTGTAAAAAACAATAAATTTTAACTTAATTTAATAAATTATAAAAATATGTTTGTTTTTAATTCAATTATAATTCTAATCAATATTGTACTGGTATTTGGCAGTCCAGYCGATTATCCAGATATCGATGCCTATCAGTTAGCCCAGTATAACAGCGGCATTAAACCATACCTATTGGATCCACCGAAACAACTGTACGATCAAATACACAATGAGTTAACCAAAATAAGACAATTGAAACCTGACGTCAATGATGTTCATTATACTTCAACTCAAAAATTAGGACAAATAATCTGTGATAATATTGATCTAAAAAAACTCAATGAAAGTTCATTGGGTCCGCTTAAAAATATCGGAGCAATMGATTTGAAAAAAGTATTGATTGATTTTAGCCGACCCTATCATCCAATACCGTTGATGGATGTGTTGGTTGATGATTATTACGCCAATAAAACAGAGCCGATAAACTGTGAAAACATTTTCTCATTGGGTGTCCGATCTGTAATCGTCAGAAGCCAATGGGGACAATATGATGACAACAACGACAATGTTGTCGACTATTTCTTTGAGTTAGGAAGTGGTCAATGCTATGGGTCGACACCCGATGACTGTACCGAATATAAAACATGGACTTTTAAGATATTGCCAAATGAAACTTTATTTTTAGAAAATTAATAATTATTTTTTWWAAATGTTTCTAAATACAAAATTCAGTTAAATTAATAATGTATAGATAATAACTAATATAATGACTAATAATAAATTGTAATTAATTAATAAGATATTAAATAAATAAATAAAATATGTTTATATAATACTTAAATAAAATTATTTTCTAAAAAAACACAACTCATTATAAAAATCTAAAATTGTTAATTACAAAAGTATTATTTCAAAATAATTTATTACATTTGTTATGCATGTTCATTAATTATGTATAATTAAAATATTAAATTAAAATATATTTATTGAATATCACTAAAAAATTATTGTTATAACAAATGTTCAATTTTAATACATTTTTTGATATTTTTATGTGACATTAAGAAAATATATAATAAAAATGCTAATTTGTTAAATTAATTATTGGTGAATATATTAGTAATTTAAAAATATTTATTTAAAATATTTAATTTTAGTTATAATTAATTTCTAAAAATAAAATAAAATAATGTACTAATTGTACTTAATTAATACAATAATTATTATTTATACTAAATACTAAATATAAATTGATTAAAAAACTTAACAGTATCATTTATAATTTTTTAATTAGTATTTTTTACAAATGTTTGTGAAATAATGATAATTATACTTCTGTATTAAATATCATATAACAGGATATAAAATAATAATATAGTTATCAAACTATTTAACTAATTTTGATAATTTATATTAAATACATAGTATACTTATCAAAAAACAAAATTTTTTATATAAAAGAGTATAATTTTATATAAAAGACAATAAATTCTAACTTAATTTATTAAATTATAAAAATATGTTTACTTTAAATTCAATTATAATTCTAACCAATATTGTACTGGTATTTGGCAGTCCAGCCGATTATCCAGATATCGATGCCTATCAGTTAGCCCAGTATAACGGCGGCAGTAAACCATACCTATTGGATCCACCGAAACAACTGTACGATCAAATACACAACGAGTTAACCAAATTAAGACAATTGAAATCGGAAATCAATGAAATTCATTTTACTTCAACGCAAAAATTAGGACAACTTATCTGTACTAATGTTGATCTAAAAAAACTTAATGAAAGTTCATTGGGTCCGCTTAAAAATATCGGAGCAATTGATTTGAAAAAAGTATTGATTGATTTTAGCCGACCCTATCATCCAATTCCTTTAATTGATGTACTGGTAAATGATTACATCGCCAACAAAACATTACCGGTAAACTGTCAAAACATTTTATCATTGGGTGTCCGATCTGTAATCATCAGAAGCCAGTGGAATCAATATGAAGACAACAACGACAATGCTATCAAGTATTTCTTTGAGTTAGGAAGTGGTCAATGCTATGGATCGACACCTGAATACTGTACCGAATATAAAACATGGGATTTTAAGCTAAAACCAAATGAAACTTTATTTTTAGAAAATTAATAATTATTTTTTAAAAATGTTTCTGAATACAAAATTCAGTTAAATTAATAATGTATTGATACTAACTAATATAATGACTAATAATAAATTGTAATTAATTAATAAGATATTAAATAAATAAAAAAGATATGTTTTTATACTACATAAATAAAATTATTTTCTAAAATTCTAAATTCTAAAATTATTTCTAGAAAATTAATAATTATTTTTTTTAATGTTTCTGAATACAAAATTCAGTTAACTCAATAAGATATTAAATAATAATGTATTGATAATAACTAATATTAATAAAATTATTTTCAAGAAAAAAATCATAACTTATCATAATAGTTAAAAAAATTTAATTACATTAATGATTATTTCAAAATATTTGTTATGCATGTTAACTAATTATGTTTAATTAAAATATTAAATCAATAAAAAATTTATTGAATATTATTAAAAAAATATTGTTGTAACAAATGTTAAAATTAATAAAAATTTATCTAAAATCTAATAATTGTAGCAATAAATAAAAATTATTGAAAATTTAATCTTGAATTTTTTTTTATTGAACTCSTATTKAATCACATATTGTGAAATTATTAAATATATTGTATATTATTAATCACATATTGCTATATTGTTTAGGTAATTACTATATTTAGATTAAATAATGAAATATAATTATCAATACAACTTTATAGCAAAAATTATCTATTTTTATTTACTTAAATTTTCTAATTAACTATACTTTATATTTGATAACTTGTTAGTATAGTTTACTTTTTAAGTTAAACTAAAACAAAATTATTAATTGTCAATAGCTATTAATTAGTTTTCAAAAATATATTATTATAAAATATAGAAATTTTTGTTTTTAATTAATAATAAATTTTAACATTCAGTATAATGATAATATCGGTCAAAACTGCCCACATTAAATACAACATTTTTTTGGCTATATTTTTCTACTGTCCCTGAAACCTACTAAACACCCAATATATCACACAACTTATTATATGATAATATTTTTTTGAATAATAAAAAATCAATGTTTTTTACTCATAAGTTAGTTCAATCAAAATATTTATCATAAAAGTTGTGTTTTATTTTGATGTGAAAGTTATCACAATTGCTTATCATATTTTTTTGCATAAAATATAATAATAATAATAATAATTCTTTTATAATAATAAAATAAACTTTTAATTTTTTCCAATTAAAACACAAAACTCTTTTTTTAACAATTTTAACCCAAATCTCATTTAATAATATTAAAATGCAATTATTGTTATAGAAAATCAAATGTGTAATTATATTTTTAGTTTTATTTTATTAATTGTTCAATTATATAATAATAATAATAAATATTAATTATTATTATTATTATTATTATTATTATATAATTCAAGATATTTTCTTAATTTTATAATAGAAATATTCATAAAAATGCTTAATAATAATAATAATATATACAAGATAATAAATATTTTCAATTTTAGTAATAATAATTTAAAGTATCTTTTATTTAATATTAAAAAAATAATATTTTTTGTAATATATTTTTAAACAACAAATATAAAAAAATTATTTTTTTACGATGACATTTATTCAAATATAAATATATTTACAACAAAATTTTAATTTCCGCTTTTGAAAAAAATCTAGCTTTTTATTATTTATTTTTTTCCTGATACTAAACTAGATATTTGAAGAAAAATATATACAATTTTATAAAATAAAAATATAATTTATATTCAAATGTATAGAATTTTAAACAAAAACTAGAATATGACAATATTTAAAATTCAAATAAGTTTATAAAAAAAATTATGTTACAGTATTTAAATATTTATAAAGTCTATTACTATAAATATGTAAAACATATAATATATTTTTAATACAGTATACAAAATTTATTTAAATAATATTAATTCAGACATCGTGTAATACTAATAATTTTTTATATCAACTTTTATTTTTATAGAGCAAACAAATCAACAACAAAAAAATCAACATTGTTTACAAAATAAATTTATGTTTTTAATAATAAATACATAATTTATATAATATTTACAACAACAACAACAATAAAATTAATATTAAATTATATTCAGTAATATTATATGAATATATAAATAATAATCTAAATATTGAAAGCAAAACTTATAGCAAAAGCGGAAACAATATTAAAAATTGAACCAAAAAAATAAAGTGATAGTTTGGATGTTTTTTTGAGGTTTTAGAGGTTAGCATATCAACACATAACACAGTGACTTACTATACCGTTCCCCACTACTATTTTATTATATAAGCAAAAATTATGTTATTTGATATATATATATATATATAGGTGTAACACCTAGAGTACATTTTAGGTCAGATCTATACTGTACTATATTTACTGATAATTGTTGAAAATACATGTATAATGTATAACTAAATGGTAATGTAAATTATATATGCAATGCACTAATAAAGTTATTATTTTTTCATTAATAATAAAAATATATGGATCTTTCATTTTTTTAAAATTAAATTTTATTTTGTTATATCATTTAGAAAAGAAAATTAATCAAATTTATTATATTCATTGTTCACTTTACGCACATTTAAATACAAACATAAAATACAGGATAATTATTAAATACAATATATATTTTATTGTTAAAATAATATAATACTAAAGTGAACTGTGGGTAAAATGTAGTTTTTTCAATTAAAATCACACAATAATAATCACAGATCTCGCAAATTATGGGAACTTTTCATTTCATAATTACTTTATTTTAATCAATGCTATGATTGAAATATTATTATTTTTATTATTAAATTCAATTTAAACTTAAACTGCAAATACAATTGTATGATAAATATGTCTTAAAACAAAATATTTTATCCAACAATTTATAACACACACACACATACACACACACACACACACACACACACACACACACACACACACACACACACACACACACACACACACACATGCATACACACACAYACACTACTCTTTGTTAATTTAATTGTTATTATTTTATTTATAATAAATTATATATGTATTTTCTTGTCAATTGTTTTCGGTTTAATTAATTTTTTTATTTAATTTTTTTTGCTTTCAATATTATTTGATATTTAAAAAAACCAATTAATATTTATAATCTAATTTGTAATAAATATTTAAATTTTCTATTAATGTTTATTTACTGTAAAAATAATAATAATTTATTGATTAATCCATCAATTTTTAGTTTGACAGATTTCAAGTAAATTACCAGATATTAAAATTCACTGGATGACATAAATATTTTACAAAAATAAATATAATAAAATAAATATTTAAATTAAATAAGTTTTTAACAACAATAAACATGTGGTTAATATTATGTATAATAATACTAATAATTACTGAAACGAGTAATCAATTGCTTATATAGTAGTTATTTTTTGAAAATTATAAAAAATAAATATTTGACATAAATTTTTATTAGTCTTATTGCAAAAAAAAACTTTTTTTTACACTTTAAATGATGATAATGTTGAAAAAATAAATTGTTTATTTTTCTATTTTATTATGTTTTTATTATTATAAATATTATTATTATTATTATTATACTGTATTTTTTGTTGTTTAATATTCATTTTGCATACATATAGACTGTATATATATATATTGAGTGAATAATTTTTGCTAAATTTTATTCATTGAGAGCGTATTTAATTGAGGAAAAATTTAAAGGATTAACTTATTATAATACATTTAAACAGTAATATATTATTATATGAAAAATTGATTTTTTTTCTCTCTAAAAGTAAATACATAATTGTTAATATACTGTATATATATATACAGTATATTATTTTTTTGGATACATTTAAATTGAAAGTCATCATAACATATACTACATATACAAAGCATATGTTATTATCTGACACGACATCAGATTTTTTTTGAGATAGTTTTGGCAAATCGTTTGATACAATTGAAAGATAAGCAGTTTTTTAATGTACAAAATATATGTAAGACATGGATCTTATATGTAGTAAACATTTTTTTATCAGCAAATACTCAGACACTAAATATATATGAGAGTAATATTTTAAATTTTAAAAAATAAAAGATTTTATTAAAAGATAATTTGCCAACATTTGCATGATTTTGAGAAATTAATCAATTTTTTAAATGAAAAAAATTAAAATATTATTTTTTTATTAGACAATTGTACAAAAAAATTATAATTTAAACTTTATAAACCAGGAACTTTAGCAATGTTAATTTGTAAATATTAATTTTTATTGTTTATTTTGTTTAGTCCCGACTATAATTTGTATAACGTGCATAATTTTAATGTATTAACAATAATTTTATGAATATTAAAATTTAAAAAAAACAATTTTTATTGTAATAAATATTATATTATTTATGTTTAAATTTATTATTTTTATTATGTTTTGTATTTTTTTATAAATTGTGTGAAAATTTATATCAAATAAAACACAAAAACAAATTAAATACTATAATTCTAATGTGTTAATTATAAATAAAATATTAAAATAGTTATCAATATTTAAATCATTGAGTTTAGTTAAACACATTTTATTTCTAATATTGAATTTCATGATAACTTAAATTTTATTTTATAAAATATAAATTATATCTAGGGTTAACAATTAAATATAATCTGCAAACATATAAAAATTAATTAAAAATATGAGATATAATATCATATGTAATAATCCTATTAATATAACAATTAATATTTATATGTAATGAATTTATGATAGTTAATAATAAAAAGGTCTATTAAACTAAATTAATAGGACTTTATTGAAAAATTTAGTAACAATTGACCTCAATTAACAAATAGTATCATATTATTATTTAAAAAAATAATAATAATAAGCAATTAATAATAAAAACAATAATCGTGATCAATTTGTCACTAT